CAGAATTGAACAGGAAGAGAGAATGCAGCCAAGCATGAAATGTTCTTGTGGAAAAATGGGTGGGAGAATGCACAAGCAAGAGACTTTCTTAATTTAGATGCTATCCCTTAATTCTCCCTGCCTGGAATAATGTTGATAGTGACTTTTGCACATGTTTACATGTTCTTCTGTTATTAAAGCAGCCCTTTTTTGTGTGTGTTTTGTTTCTAGAGTTCAATTTTGATTGCATCATCAAGGCAGGATATGAAGTACTTTCCCAAGCCAGTGTTTGATGGTTGATTTATGATAGTTTTAGAGAAGTGTAGCTGGGATCAAGAAGTCTATATTTTTTTGCCAATATTTTTCTAGTTATTAGTTTAGTTACCTTAGCACCATAAAAAAAAAAGAGAGCAAAATTGAAAAGGCCAGTGTAGAAACTTTGCAATATTCAAGAATGTCAACACCCAACAGAGGAAGGTGGCTACTCAGATTTTCTCTGTTCAAAAGCAGTTTTTTGTGCTGTAGGTTATATAAGAAATGTATCAGAATAGGAAGAAAGCATTTAATGAACTCTTTTTCCTTTAACAGGGAAGGTCAGCAGAGAGATACCTTGAAGCATGACATGACTAACAATGGCCTTTTCCTCAAGAAAGTATCTCCGTGTCCTTATTTCTGCGTGGCTAAAACTTGGGTATTTGTCTACTCATTCTTGTGTGTTCATACCTCACTGTTTTACTAATGTTTTTATAGCTTTTTAATGTAAGTAGCTCTTTTTGTAACAATCACCATTGTTATTACACTATACTATCTGTACAAATACTACTTGAGAAGTTTACATTTTTGAAAGCAAAAACATGATTATTTTTACCAAATTACCTATTTCTAACTTGGACGGTTGCTAGGCTGGAGTGATGGTGATAATTACTTGTATTTTCTGAAACAGAACATCTGAAAAGTGAGCTGTTAAAACCTAAAAGCAAATGCAGATAGTATTATGAGAACTGTTCTCTGAAGGGTTTTCTTTAAATAGCAAGATCTGAAACCAGCAACACTGTTTTTTTTCAAGTGCTTGTGAGTCCACAAACGATGCCTGTTAGAAACTGCTTGATGTGATGTGTAGCACACCCTTGTTCCATAAGGCACCTTACTTACAAAAGCCCTGTATTGTTTAATGCTTCTCATAATTTGTATTCATAAACATATACTGCCTTGGTGGAATCCCATGTTTAAAATGTAACCAAACTCGCTCTAAAAACACTTAAGTGTCCGAGGACAGTTGCGTGCATGATTTTTGAGGTTTGAAGTACACAAAATTACACTTGGGCATTTGCCTTCACTTTTCTATGGAACACTTTTACAAGGACAAATTTTTTCTACTAGGTTTTTCATTTTGTTTACCTTCTATTGTTTGTATTAATCTTCTAGAAGCTTGGAAATAAAATTCCTTTCCTTACTGGCTTTGATTTCATTATTTAATTGTAGAAGAGAGCAAATTCATTCATGTACTTCGAAGATGATATTTGGATTTTGCAGTGGGAGGGAAGGCTTCACGCTTTTTTTTTTTAAGGACAAGGTTACTGTTGGAATTTTAGAGAATATTTTACTGTTAGAAAGATCTAGTGTACAGTTACATAAATATTGATGCTAAACTATTAGGGCCACTTAAAGATTTTGAAGTCTGCAGTGGGGCCTTCAGTGATCTGAATATATGATTTTCATTAATGCTAACTGAAATGTTACAGTGAATGTCCTCCAAACAGTTCAGTTTTAACAAAAGATTTTCACACTTGTTGCCCTGCTGGGAGACATTGAAATGACAGTAATGATATTGCCAGTATAAACTGTACTTCTACAGAAGTGCATGTCCTTCCTCAAGTGCCATTCTTTGCTCCTGCTTCCTTTTCGTTGTAGGCTATGAGAGTATGGCTGCCAGCTTCTCCTGGACACTTGACACATGCACATGTTGTGGAAATCCAGAGGAAATACTGTTGTTCTTATTTGCAGAGAGGTGCTTAGAAGCTCAGACTGGGGTCAAAATGTTCATCACAGAGAGGAAGGGAGAGAGATAAGAGTTTGCCTCAAATATCTTTGAACAATTGGCTATCGGCCACTCCCTCCCAAATAAATCCTTTGTGTTTCTTTTTCTCACAGAATAAAACTTAACACTAGCAGCAACATTTGATATTCTTCCTGATGCCTGGGTTCTGGAGTCACTGCTGAGCTGGCAGTGGGAGCAGCCAAACTGCCATGTGCAGGGGTGGGTGGCTGCTGCAAGCTGGTCAGTCTTGGCTCTTGCCTCTTGATCGCCCTGCCCTGCTCCATCTGGCACCTTTCAGCTGAAGCACCACTCGCTCCATGTGTGGTGTGAACATACACTGTGGGTGTCTGTGAAATAGAGAAAATATCTTACGTTACAAGCAGCTGCCTCTCAGAGGCCTCAGGGGCCCCAGCCCCATGCTCTGCTGAATGGCACATAATCCTGACCTGAGTCTCCGTGGGATCCCAGCTGTGTCCATACCTAACAACAGCAGCAATGAAAACCCTGTCAGCAGGTGTGAGATGGGCTGGCAGCATGCTGGTCGTGCTGAAGTCCCATGAAAGGAAGATACAGGTTCAGATATCTGCAGAGAAGTGTGCTTGCTGCACTACTTGGCTTTCTGGGTACACACTGTATGAAGTCCTTCATACCAATCTCCGGGTTCCACAGGATGCCTGTGATAAAACTAATTAAATGACTGCACAAATCTGTACGCATATGTGCCTAACATGAGCCACAGGGTCACCTTTTTTCTGTGGTCCCTCACAGTGAGAAGTACAATGAGTTTACCAGCAGGGTTTTTGTTTTTTTTTTACTTCTAGAGCTGTAACCTGCCAGGTCACCTAGCATTTCACAAACGTGATTGAAGAAATGAGTCTACCTGCCACTGATGGAAGTCTGGTGATTAGGAAACCTCTCATTCTCACACACAAAAAAATGCATAATAATAAAAATAATAATAATAATAAATAACTGCATAAAGATCTCCCCAAATGTGAAATTCTCATATATGGCTGCTTTTTTCTCTTTTTGAGGGGAGGGCAAGGGAGCATTTGCATAGCACTGATTTTCCTCTACATTAAACAGAAAGGAATTAGGGGAAGAGTATCACATGTGACAAAGTTGCCATTAGGCGTGTAAACTGTCAAAGATTTAGAGTCACAAATAGAGTGAAAATTAAATGGTCATTGCAAGTTCTTCTCCTACTTTGCCAGTATTAGAATGTATACTGACATTTTCTTACCTATTAGCAACTTGGTACAGATGACACTTGAATTTCCTTCACTAACTGAATGTAGGCAACATATGGTTTGCCTTTGTTTTTGAAGGAATCAATAGATTATTTGAACTAGCCTTTAATGAATGTGTACTTAAAGTTCTGGTGCCAGCCTCTGTGTGAAAGGATATAAATACACAGCTAGGGAGTGGCTCCTGTAATTTTCTCCACTGTGGTCATCTGTGAATAAATTTTTGCAGAGCTGCACTCTTAAAAGAAGAAATTCCCAAGCCTGGCAAGCTGGGACACAGTTCTGAAAAACAGAGCCAAATCTGTGTTGTAAAGAGATGGAAAATGGTTAGGTCAAGCAACCACAAAAATGGGCCAGAAATAGCGAGCAAAATGCAACTTTTATTTTAGTAACTATTTTGTGCTGGTCAAACATGGAAACACTGGCAAATTTACAATCCTACAAAAGATTTTATTAATATTACGCATGAAAAGTATTTTCTGAATTCCTGCTAACAGTTTGGATACAAATAACCTGTGGATATTACTGTGAACTACGATTACTCCTGGAACTGACACTGTACTTCTAGGAGTTCTCAGTTAACAATCAGAAAAGCCAAAGCTGCTCCTTTAAGAACTGGCTGCATTTATCCAGATAATGAATATGTGCCTAATGAAGACTCAATATCAATAAACTATTTTGCTGCAGGCCTGAACCATACATTTGCTTTTATTCTGTTACTGCATTAAACTTAAAAATCAAAAAAAGCGAATTTGAAAACTGACATCAGAATGGAAAGCCACTGAGCAGGCACTGATCTGAAGCTGGCAGAGTATGCATGCCAGCAGCAGCATGGAGTTACTCTCTACCACTGCCTTCACAAATATTTCTAGCTCTGTTGTAAAATCTTTTGCTGGAGAGTGGGGAGTTGGACACATCCTTTCTTCTGCAACTTGCAAATTAGATGATTTTTTTGTTGTTGTCTAATCTCCTGTGCTGCCTTGCTGTAGCCTAGAATTTCTGGTGTTGTCTCCTAGATGATTCTCATCTTTCACACAGAAGCAGTGTAGCAGGCTGGAAAATGGGTACATCAACAAACAGCCTCCACTAGATTATGTGGAAAACTAGAGTCACAGCATTATCTTCTGAATCAAATCTATGAGAATCATAAACTTCAGCTGTCTTTCATGTGCTGTCCACATAACGTGTTGTTTCTGAAGGTTAATTATGACTAAAGCCACACTCAAGCCATGAAGGAACTCATAACAACACAGGGCTGCCAGAGGGGCTGTCAGAAGGAATGAAGTGGAATTGAACCCAGAGGACAAAAAGAAAGATCTCTTGCTTTATTTCCAAGACTTTATCATCAGCTCTGAGATAAAGGCAAATCCAGTCTGCTATAAAATGTGGAAGCCTGCGTGCTCAGGGAGGAAACATAGGTTGTTTGAAAACTCAACATGCTTTAGCATGTTATTTCTTTTTTCTTTTTTCAAATAAAAAAACAACAAGGTAACTTTATACAACCTATATGAACAAACATTTAAGTGTTTACATCAGTAATTCTCCTGCTTAGAGGAGCTGGTTTGTTTAGTGAGAACTAAAAAAAGAAATCCTTATTTAGTCAGAAATCCCAAACACTATTTTCCCTTTAAAAATGAACAACAACAAAAAAAATGTAATAAATTTCCACTCAAATGGTTTAAGGATTGGGAAGAAAAAGAAAAAAAAAAGATGTGGCATGCAAGTCGCTATTCAATTCAAAAGAATTTAAGACGTGTTTGTCCATCAGCTCTTCCAGGTACTCTTTCATACATCAATCTCCTTTTTTTAGTTCTTGGTACTTCTTCAAGTCCTGAATCTGGTAAAGAAGTGGCAATTAAGTATTGGCGTAACAAGCTAAAAATATAAAATCAGCTACATGTTTCTCAGAAGCAGTAACAGGCTTCAGCTTCAACTAGTTTGTATGAAAAACATTAAGTACTGTAGAATTGAGTATGTACACATATTAACTGCTGCTTACTGATCAGTTTGATGCATTTTACCTCATAATAATAGTATAGGACCTTATATGCAAAATCAGCCTGCACTGTGCTTAATTTCAGTACAAGTTTTCAAACTTATTTCTATTTCATTAACACTACACTCTGTACAGTTCAGTAATTACAAAAGCTAATTCTTTTGAAACAGAAACAGAAGTTGTTCAGTTGTTCCTAAGTTAGTTTAAGAAAGTTTTTTACATTCTTAAGTATTTTTTACAATAAAATATTTGAGAAGTTATTTTATCAGTACACTTTAATGGAAGAAAATTCTGTTTAGGCCTTGCAAAGTGTACTTTATAGAACTTTAGATAGAGCTTTAGATACTTAGAACAATAGAACTTTAACACTTATTAAACAATTTCATCTGCATCAGTAAAAATAGTGGGTCAGTGTATTACCATTAATTGTTTGAGGTTTAATTAATATTTTTTTCTGAAACTTACAGAAATCCTTGAAGGTTTCCAATGTGTCTTTCTAACTCGACTCTGCATACATTTCCTAAATCTGAGATTTCAGAAAGCTTTCACTGTATTGAAGTGTTTTTTGCATTTTTTGCACAGCTTACCTGGTTTTTCCCTTGGCTAATGGATGATAAAGTAAAACATGCCTGTTGTTCCATAACATCAGGCAAATTCCCTTACCCTTTCCTGATTTGATTCAGTTGTAAGTATATCTTTGCCATATCAGGAAAGAGTATCAGAAAATTAATCAGTGGGAGATCACGTTGTTTTCAGAATACTGTAACAGAAGCAGTCCTGATCAACTGAAACTACTGTTAGAATTTTCTGCCATCAGTGTCAGTTACAGGTTACTCAAACACTGTTAATTATCCAGCAATACTGCAGGTCACAATTTGTATTCCAATGGAGATGCAAAAGGTCTGCTCATAACTTCACTTGAGCATTTTAATTTTCATAGGCTGAAAATTGAAAGCAGTTCACCATATCCAATTACCTTTTCCTCTGTTTAGTGCCAGAACTGCCTTAAGCTGCCCATTAAGCACAATGATATCAATTAGTTACACATGCTTTACATGAATGAGCCTGATCTAATTAGTGGAAGTATTTAATACTGCACTGACTTTGCTCTGTCACCATGAGTTTTAACTACAGACAGTGAAAACACAGATTAAATTATCTATACTAGGGGTTAGGAGGTTTATTTAAGAAGCTTAGCCTTATATTTTTTAAGAACTTGGCATCTTGCTTTTTAAGAAGTAGCAGATTAAAAAAAAATGAAACAAAAACCTATAACCTACAACAAAACAATATTTAGTCTAATAGGGACTAATGATATTTTCTTACTTTCAAGGCTCCATGGATACATACCAGGCCTTGTAAAAAATGCCTTCAGCTGTGCTTAGGATGGATAAGAAACTGTGTTTAGCCATGGATAAGAAAACAAAACAAATAAGCAAACAAAAACACTGAAAAAAAAAAACCAAAAACCAAAAACAACACAAAGCCAAGCTTGAATTTTCTATATAAAAACACACTAAGCTTTCTATTAGATGAAATACGCCTTGTAATAATTTCAAGATTCATAGTTTAGCCCTGCGAAGAAGACGGAGCAGAGACCTCAGTGCAGCCTACTGTAAGAAAGACTGAGAGAGACATTTTAAGAGGGCAAGTAGTGATCAGACTAGGAGTAATGATTTCAAAGGCGGGAGATTTAGATTAGATAGAAGGAAGAAATTTTTTACTCAGAGGTCAGTGAGGCTGCCCAGAGAAGCTGCGGGTGCCCCATTCCTGAAGGCATTCTCAGCCAGCTGGGACAGGGCCTTGGGCAGTCCATCCGGTGGGTGGCTGCTCTTTCCAGGGAAGGGTTTGAGCTGGGTGGGCTTTAAAGTCCCTTCCAACCCGTTCCATGATTTATATTTTAATTTCCTACAAGAAAAATAAGTGCAAGTGTTTTGCATAAGAGGAAGCAATATTGTTAGATTGGATTAAATAATTACTTAAAGAAAATACGAAGTTGAGTTTTACAAATAATACTTTTTCCAGTGAAGTTACAAATAAAATTTCAGCGAATTCACCTTGCTTTGTACATACCTGGTATTTTTTTTCCTTTTGCCCATAAGAATGGTGGACTTTGCTTTCTGTTTCCTGAAAGTTCTCGATCTTGGTTTTGGAAACACAGAATTTGAATTTCATCTGGATCAACAAGGGAATCAGAATGAATTAAGTTAGGTGCAAATGAATTGTATGTGCAAGTGGATGAAAAGTCATTCCATGGAGTCTCATAAATCTGAATTTCTGGGCTCTTAAATGCTGTGCCTCTAAATTCTTCCAGAAAAGCTGTAGAGCTGTCAGGAGGTACACAGTCACTGAAAGTTGTAAAGAAATCTTCTTCAGAATTTTTGGAGGGATGATCAGAGATACAGTGTGTCCTGAAAGCCTGACCTTTAATGTAAAAAGAATTCATAGCATTTAGACGATCAAAATCTTCACTGCCCTTTGGTACAACAAAGAAATTCTGTTTTCTCTCTGGAGCTACTTCTGAAAAACATGGTCTCTCATGCATATAGCTTGAAAGGTCAGAGTTGATAAAACTTTGATTATGTTTCAATGGAAGAAACGAGGCTTCAGAATTCACATGAGATGGCCCTGGTGGAAGAAAATTTGAATCATTCTCTTTGAAAAACGAAAAATTAGCAAGTCTCTCTAAATTTTTCAGTAACAAAAGGAATCCACTGAGCATTAAAATACAGTCTGCCTATCATAACAATTCATCTTTCAATGGTTGGAAAATAAATGTTCTAATACACTCAGACTTCCACCTGGTTTCAGAGATGATACACTTTGGCAGTAATTCAAATCACCTGTGCTGGTTTGTGCCTTAGCTAGCAACTCTAAAGACTGAGGATTTTGCTTACAATCTGGATAGAGTCTTTTAAAGATATTCCAGTTTTCTGGAGGTGATGAACGTTTCACTGTTGTTTTCAGTGGCGCAGCAGCATTTGTGCTGTACGAAGAGGTAATGTCACTAAAATGCTGAAACCAAATAAAAGGAGTTAAGCAGTGTTTATAGCGCAAGTCTACACTCTCAAATATGAAAATCAAATCACTAGTAAGAATTCTAAAGCTTATATATAAATTTTTGGTTACTGGAAATAAAAATAGAAGACTTGGTAATATAAAGTCACTTATGGTGGACAATGTGCTGCCAGTCTTACATCTATAAACAGACTAAGTAATAAACATCACGTTACTCAAACCATGAGAAACCAGTATCATAGTATATTCTCTATCATGAGATAGGACTGGAAAAAAAGTGGCATCTGCAATGTATTGGTGCATTTCACACGTCATGGAAGGATAAACTAACAAAATACCTTTCACTCAGTAAACACTACCATACAAACACATGGTTGCTACAGTAACATGTATAAGTTAATAGTGCCTAAATATCTTTTCCTTGGCTCTTTCACCTTAACTGAATGATTCAGGAAAGCAGGATGTCCTCCCCTTTTAGAACAGAATCATAGAAACATAGAATAATAGAATTGCTCAGGTTGGAAAAGACCTTAAAGATCATCGAGTCCAACCACAACCTAACCCTACTACCCTAACTCTAACAACCCTCCACTACGTCATGTCCCTGAGCACCACATCCAGATGGTTTTTAAACACATCCAGGGATGGTGACTCAACCACCTCCCTGGGGAGCCTCTTCCACTGCTTTAACAACCCTTTCTGTAAATAACTGTTTCCTGATATCCAACCTAAACTTACCGTGGCACACCTTGAGGCCATTTCCCCTCATCCTGTCACCTGTCGCCAGTGAGAAGAGACCAACCCTGCTCTCGCTGCAATCACCTTTCAGGTACTTGAAGAGAGCAATAAGGTCTCCCCTCAGCCTCCTCTTCCCCAGACTGAACAGACCCAGTTCCTTCAGTTGCTCCTTGTAGGGCATATTCTCCAAGCCAAGCTGACTATAATGAGTCAGTAATTTTCTTGGACTTGGCCCAACTGAAAACAGTAGCAGCACCAATTGCAGCTGCAGACAGAATTTCAAACACTTTAGTTGACAGAATTATTCCTCTTAAACTCAAGGGCTCTTTCAAATGATTTGTGCAGTGAGTTTACAAGTGGTGGGTTATACTACAGTGCAAGCAAATGGATAGCAGGAGGAAAGGGGAAGAAGAAAGGAAAGCAATTGAAAACAATTCTTGTTTTACAGAGGTGTATGAAAACATATGCTCATAGGACACTTGATATGATAGAGCTTAGACTTTTTTTTATTTAATTTTTCAGAGTACTTTACCAGTTAAGAAATTTTTCCAGAACTAATAACCTTAACAAAAACATAGTGATGGCTCAACAAAATCTGCTGAGGATTAGCGAGGACAGTAATTTAAATATGAACAATACACTGAAGTTCTGAAAGTAATAAAACATTAATTCATTTTTAGATGACACTAGAAAATAGCCATGTACCATCAGATTAAAAAAAAAAAAAACAAACAGAGGAAGAATGAGAACTGTGCAAGCAGTCCGAGATAAAACATAAATTACTTTTGACTGACCTTTAGAACTTTTTTTGGAACCTCTGGTAGTAATTCCTGAAGTTGATCATAGCTTGCCAGAAAGAGCCTGTTCAAAGAAGATTCCTTCTTTAGCATCAGCTGAGCAACCAGAGGGTTGATACAAGGAAAAGCAAGCAAGCATTTCTCCATCTGGAAATGGAAATAATTTTGTCAGACATTTATTTTTCTTTCTTCAGTGACATTCCTATCAATAGGTCACATCACATAATTAGATCTTTGAATCTGTGCAGTTTCGGATAGGTGTTTTACGCGTCACGTGAATTTTATTTTATTTTTACTAGTTTTTTAACAGTGTAAAATTCTTGTTAAAGAGTAAATTTTTGAAAACTAATTTGATAAAAAGGAAGTACATTAAAAAGATATTTCTGTATTATTTTTATATAAACCAGCGAGTCATTCAAACTTGATTTCTAAACACACTACCAAATTTACTTTATTTTTATTCTGTGGTTTGATAAGAATTATTTACATCAAGATAAACCAGCAAAACTATTTTATTTTACAGAAGTTACACTTGTAAACAGCAATGAGACAAGTGCTAGAAGCAGGAATTACTAGGTGGAACTGAATGTCACACAACGGGCAGTAACTTCAAAACTGTGGTATCTAAAGAATGTCAGCTTCTAGTTCTTGACTTTCATAAAGCTCTGCATTCAACACATCAGGACCTAATGCCTTTAACAGAGATAAAATACAACCAATTACTTTTCTCAGTCTTTTCTTTTTTTAAAAAACAGTATCCTTAATCTCTAATTTGGAAGAGTTATAATCCAGTATTACACATTTGAAAGACCATGCCAAGGACTTAGAATGCTTTTGAATTTTGCAAATTCTAAAAAGTATCCTGACTTTTTAATAGTTCAGGCTTTTCATGTGAGGTGACTAAATCTCCATTAGGATTAATTTGGAAATCTCAACACACTAGACAACATCAATATTTGAACATAATTGGTGGATGTGGTCCAGTAATATTGATTTCCAAATACTGCATGAGGAATTAAGCAAATATTATCAGCTTGTGGTAAAACAACACTGTAAGCAACTTCATTGACTTCAGTAATAGATGATTATCAGTGAATCTGGCTTACTGCCCAAGTAAGCCACCATATTGTTATCTTTTACAGTGTGGATAGTTCTTCAAATGTAGTGCTGAAAGGATGTCAGTCACACATAACAGCCTAGAGGTGTGAAGGATAAATTTCTCTGACGTTTCATTGTGAAAGCACAGGGAAAATCCTAAGTCTGCTAACAAAGGTGACTGATGTCAGAAGCTTTACATAGGCATGTGTGTTTATGTATCTATAACATATATACATACATACAGATATGAAATGTATAAATTAATTAAATAACAACATATTAAAAAATCACATAGAACTTATTCTGGGAAACAAGAAGAAAACAGTGTAATGTAGCATAAAGTTAAATAACCTCAGATGGCAAGACAGAAAGCCAAGATTTGTCCAGCCATTCATGGGGACTGAAACTAGATGTCATCAAAATGTTGTCAGCTATTTGACGAATTAACAGTGCTGCCTCTTCAATCCCTGGTGTAAGAACTACCTATAATAACAATAATTTTGGTTAAAGCTTATGCTAAGGAGTAAAACTCCAAATGTCTTAATTATCATTAGTAGTTAGCAGATGGAAAAAACTGAGCACAGTAGCTAGCAAGGTAGACTAACTAATCCAGACCTATGCTCATCGTGAACTTCAACAACTGACCACAAATCTAGCTCCAAATTACACTCCTTATTTATACAAATAAATTTATACAAATCCAATGTAGGCAAAATTTAGTTTCTTCTATAATCTCTTATATGTTTTAGATTTATTGCTATGAATTCAAAACAGGCAATTCTGAAATGCCCAGAATAGTTTAAGATAGAGATGTGCAACCCTTTGAAAAGGTAGGCAATTTCCAAGCAAGCTGTCAACTAAAGTGCTGTATAAACGGGTTGAAAAAATCTTGATCTTAACCAGAAAATTTTGAAACAAGCATTAATATGTAAAAAAGTTTTAAAAACTGCCTAAAAAGGCTACTTCGTGCAAAAGGAGGACCAACACAATTTTTGCCCCATTTTTAAAATGTGAATTAAAATGATACTGCATTTTTTATTTATAAAGAATAAAAGCATATTTGTAGTCACATAATAAAAATGTGACAAGCTATCTGACATTACAGAGAAAAGATACACTTTCTTTTCCTCTACATTAAGAACAATATTAACTCAAAACTTCAAATTAAGGCATTGATAGGATAACAAGAGATTAATACATGCTTTAGTATTCATAAAATTAAAGGTACAACATCATTCCAGATGTAAAAGACTGTCTAGCCTCTGCACAAATCTGATTCAGCTTGTACTAGAGTCCATCAGAGGTTTTACTGACTTCAGAAGTACTGAACTGAAGTCCTTTATCATATTTTCTGAATTTTGAATTGTTTTCTGTTTCTGTTGTTGGATGTGCACGTTAATAGAATACTTTGGGAATATCACATAGAGAAGATTAAAATGGAAGAGCTGTTACAAAAAAAAATAAATTACCTTCACTTCAAAGTCTTCTGACTTCTGTATAAATTCTATCAAATTGGCATAAATTAAGACAAGGCTGAGAAGAGTATCTCCGCTGAGACTGTACCTGTAAGAACAGTTTAATCAGACCATTAGTATTTTATATGCACATAACAAATGTGACTGTTCTCTGTGTTAATAAATTTCTGTTCCATTTCCTGGAATTTGGAACATGAGTATATTTCCTTGAATATTATTACCTGTGAAAAGATAACTAGGGTGTGTGAAATGACTGACTACTGAAGGACACATTGTAAAGAAGAAAATGGAACCAGCTCGCAGCAAAGAAAGCCTGGCCTGAAGCAAAAAGGCTGAATCAGGGTCAGCCACTGGAGAAAAATTATACACAAAGGAAAAGTGAAGCATGAAAGATTATCCACTTCCTTTGAGAAAAAACCTTGCAATAGGTAATGAAGGACTGCTTGAGAGACATATCAATAAAAGTAGTACTTCCACAGCAAAAAACCCTACTGATATACTGGAAGAATATCTCCCTCTTGGAAATGATGTACGGTAACGCTAACATAGAAATAATTCATAACCATGTAATTATAGTGATTAATTTACTTCAAACACTTCAAAAGCATAGTCGCTGTTGATAATACCTTTAATACCATGAATGTTCTGGACTTGCTGATTTGAAATATTTAATAAAAACTTGCCCTATATTAGAGTTACCTGAAATTTTCAATTTTCCCCTATATTCAGCACTGGTGAGGCCGCACCTCGAGTACTGTGTCCAGTTTTGGGCCCCTCACTGCAAGAAAGATATTGAGGCCCTGGAACGTGTTCAAAGGAGGGCAACAAAGCTGGTGAGGGGTCTGGAACACAGGCCATATGAGGAGAGGCTGAAGGAGCTGGGAATGTTCAGCCTGGAGAAGAGGAGGCTCAGGGGAGACCTTATTGCTCTCTACAACTTCCTGAAGGGAGGTTGTAGTGAGCTGGGGGTCGGCCTCTTCTCTCGTGTCATTAGTGATAGGACCAGGGGGAATGGCTTCAAGCTACGGCAGGGGAGATTCAGGCTGGACATGAGGAAGTATTACTTTTCAGAAAGGGTGGTCAGGCACTGGAATGGACTGCCCAGGGAGGTGGTGGTGGAATCACCGACCCTGGGGGTGTTCAAGGAAAGACTGGATGTTGTGTTGAGGGACATGGTTTAGTAGGAGCTATTGGGAATAGGTGAACGGTTGGACTGGGTGATCTTTTAGGTCTTTTCCAACCTTGGTGATTCTATGATTCTATGATTCTATGATTCTATGAAATTATTTCAATAATTTCTTTAATTTTTTGTCTTGTGGAAGACTAGAAACAATATAAACATGGAAATGAACCTTGCCAGGTTTTGGGGGGCCTCCACTGAGTTTTTCAGTGGACCTTATGACAATAATGTAACAAGGTGAAAAGATTAGAGCATGTAAGAAATACAAGCCTATAATATTCACATCCTTTGAAGAGAAAAGTGTCCCTACAGAGAAATTCAAATAACAGAGTTTTAGCTTGTTCTGGTGTGCAGCTTCCTTTAGCAATATCTTTGTTTTAAAAATAATGATACAGCAAAAGATTTTATTTACTTACTCCAAACTCAGTCTTTCTCTGGAGTAGAAAACAACCCAACAGCATGTATATTGGAGTGATAATGCTATCAGCTTCGATATTACATTGTCGCAGGACTTCTCGTGGTTTAACTCATCCATATTCTACCATGAAATTAATATAAAAATGAAAAACTAGATAAACATATTACCATGGCTGTCACAACCTTTTCATATGCATTGCTGTATTATACATGAGTTATATCAAACATGATCATGAGTTAGATCAAACATGTTTATAGGTAAATAATATAAATAACAAAGACATATCTGAGAATCATAAAGATTCTAATTCATTTCTTCATACTTTTTTATTCATCCTGTGAAACAGAGACGTTACTTTTTAAGACATTCTAAGATTTTGGGAAGTTTTAACAATGCAAAATACAGTCGCAAACCCCCACAGTAGTTAACATAGCATATATAAATTACATTATACCTACAATGAATTTATAAAGCACAGCACTGCTAATTGCATAAGCCCTTGCAGTGAACAGCATGTAGGAATATCCATCTGCATTGAGCCTGCAGTCCTATTTGATTATTTTATTCCTTATCAGTAACTGCTCTTCTACACATTGAGACATTTGTCTTGCTATGTAACAGAGTTTACATACCACCCCATCATTTAAAGTATTTCTTATTTTTATAAAAAACAGAATGAATTATTTTCTAAATTAATTCTAAACTAATAAATTTATTTTCTAAACTATTAACTATCTGAAATGGGAAGAATTAACATGCAGAGTGGTACGAGAATACAGTCACACTTAACTGGTTATTACAACATTCATGTATACAATCCTATCCTCAGCTACATATTTTAACTATATTTATACAGTCAATTTGAAGTAAAATGTAATACTTCTGTGAAAAATGTCAGCAGTGAGATGAGAATGTTTTTAGCTAGTCAAGCTGGCATAGGCTTAATTTTGGAGTTACCGAATTTGGAAATAATTTGTGTCATGAGAAAATGAGTGATTTTGATATTATTAAGAACAAAAGATACATTAGAAGTGTGCAGACATGGTCAAGAAGTGATACATCCCACTGTAGAATTTGAATATAATTTCGTTTTGTACCTGCAAGAAGATAGCAGTGCGTTCATCTACTGTCAACACAACATATCGGTCTGTATCTCCAAGTAGCCTCAAGGAGTAACTGCAGCTTCTTTCAACAAAAGTAATGCTGTAGCTGAATATTATTAGTTTTATCAGTTAATATTATAATTCTGTTATTGAAGCTCAGTTAAATGAAACACTGAGCTTTCTTAAAGGAAATGAATAGCATTCATCTCTTTATACAAATTTTATGGTAATGTGTTGTTTTAATATTGGGATCTTTCTCAAATGATCAGATTAACTTCAAGGCACATTCACAGAACAAACATACTTGCAGAAGTAAGATATTGAAATACTACTAGGCTAAAACCTGTTAGACTCCTGAGCCAAGGGGCACAAGCTGGAATACATGATCTCTGAGGTCTTTTCCAACCTAGGTGATTTTAATTCAATTAGCCTCGTGGCATTGACCTTGACATCTGACAGTTGGTGGCCCTGCATGTGGCAGGGGGGCTTGGAGATTCATGATCCTTGAGGTTCCTTCCAACCCTGTGTGGCCATTCTGTGATTCTGTGTGATTCTGTGACATACACTCTGAGATTATAAACGATATATTAAAGAGCTAAGACAAATAAGTAAAGCAAATATTTACACTGATGTTTATGGGACAAGAAAATCTCAACTTCTTTCAGAGTAATTGCATGTATATTGCATTTATTTCCTTCCTTTCACAATTGTGCAGCACAGGGAAAGCAAACTGGGTGAAAAATTACTGACTGCTCTTTGCATAATGCTAAATTTTTTCTGACTGAATTAAAACTGACAGTAGCACAATGTTGTTTTACAAGCAATGCTAGCAAAAACTCCCTGAATGAGCACTGCATGTTTAGAAATTTAGAGGAGTCTTGGCTGTCTGAGGTGGGAAGTAGAGGAGAAATGATAGTCGCATTAATTGGTCTAATTCCCAGAAAACACAAGGGACCACAATCTGCTAGGAAAACTGGTGGACAAGCACATTATCCATGAGCTGAAAGGGGAACTGTAAGCATCTCTGAAACTACTTATTTATGTAGGTGAATGTGAAGAGGATCTGCTGGGAAACTACTGAAAATCATCACCGAACATTTAGCTAGTGGCTAAGCTGAATAGTGAACTTGAACAGGTCCATCTTCAAAAGTGTATTTCAAACTGAATGTTCAAATTTTGAAGTCAAGGCATTATTTTCATTATTTTTTCCTGTTCAACTGCAATTAGACAGATATCAAAAACTGGAAAGTCTCTTCAACAGCATGGTGAAATTAATGACATGCATCCCTGACACTAGGTTTAATAGATGACTGCTATTTCTCTTCTTCCTTTCTTCCTTTCTAGTTTTCTGGGTAGAAGACTGTTATAGTGTGTATTTATTACTAAGAAAATTAAATGCAAGAAAATTATGCCAAAGAAAACAATACACATGAACAGTGTTTTACAAATACACAAATGTTTGTACAAGCTGAAGAGGTATTCAAAATCAAGAAAATATTAAATCTCAAGTAAACAATGAAAGTATTTACTTGTTTATTTTTAACTTAGCTTCTTCCAAAAGCTGTGATACATCAGAAAATGAAACTTTTACTTTATCTGCAGTATTTAGGTACTTAAAAATCCAAAAATATAAAGCAATTACTTCGAAGAATTAATACAAACCCTTTTCAAAGCATAAAAAAGTGGGAAAGCAAAAAATGTTTTTTGTTGATGACACTGTAATTTTCAGGGAAAAGAGACAATGAAAACAGTTGTTTTCATAAAAAGTCCCAGCTCATATTAAAAATTAAAATATCAACATATCCTTTGGTTGACATATGCATGAATCTATAGAATAAATGCACTGACTTCAGTGGAAAAGCTATCTTATTGTCTCTTGCAGTGCTAATAATCTAAATTTGGTAATGTACCTGACATCAGGAAGATTATACACCTTTATCAGTGATCTAGACAGTGGGATTGAGAGCACATTTGCTGATGACACCGAGCTGAGTAGTGCAGTTGGCACAATAGAAGAGAGGGCTACAATCCAAAGGGACTTGGAGAAGCTTGAGAAGTGGGCCAGTGTGAACATAGGCCCACAAGATGTGAACATCTCAAACATGATTCAAGAAGGCCAAGTGCAAAGAGTGGCATTTGAACTGGGGCAATTGCACATACGAGTTCAGACTGGGAGAACTCATTGAGAACAGCCCTGCTGAGGTATCTGGTAGCCAAAGAGCTGTTTGTGAGCCAGCAGTGTGTGCTTGCAGACCAGAGGGCCAACTAGATCCTGAGCTGCATTAAAAGAGGGCTGGCCAGCAAGGCAAGGGAAGTGATTGTCCCCTTCTGCTTTACCCTCACAAGGCTCTTCCTGGAGTACTGCATACCACCTGAGGTGCCCAACACAAAAAAGATATGGAGTTATTGGAGTGGGTCCAGAGGATACCACGAGGATCATCAGAGGGCTGGAGCACTGCTCCTATGAAGACAAGCTGAGGGAGCTGGGCTTGTTCAGACAGAAGATAACACCCTGAGGGAGACCTCCCTGCAGCCCTCAAGTACTAAAAAGGAGTTTATAAACAGCAAGGAGAGCTACTTCTTGTTGGTCTGATAGTGATAAGACAAGGGGAAATGGTTTCAAAATAAAAGAGGACAGGTTTAGATTAGATGCTAGGAAGAAATTCTTCTCTCAGAATGGTAGGGCACAGACACAGGCTGCCCAGAGAAGCTGTGGATGCCCCATCTGTGGACGCATCCAAGGACAGATTGAATGGGCCCTGACAGCCTGATCCAGAGCCTGATTTAGTGGATGGCAACCCTGCCCATACCAGAGGGACTGATCTGTAAGGTCCCTTCCAACCCAAAGAAGGGACCTATATCCTAGAAAATGGGTTCTATAGCCTGGAAAGCTGAAAGTAATTGGTCAGTAAGATTTAACAGGTCATTTTCACTCACTGAGATTCCAAAAGCTGAAGAAAATCTGGCATATTAAGAAGACCTTCAGTGGTGAGAAACACATAAGGAATCTGTATCTCCAGGAGAGAAGAACCACAGTGATTTCCTGAAACATTTTGCATACGTAAGATAATAGTTTAGTGAGCAAAAATCTCAATTTATATTTCAATATTTAAATTGATGTATGTTGAAAATATGCAGCTTTTATTCATCCCCATTATAATGCTTCTGTTATATGCTATTTTTTTCCCCCCAAAATTAAACTCTTCTGAATCCCTTTCAAACTAAGCTCTACCTTAGATTTATTCTTTTATATGCACAGCAATATTCTGTCAGCATGAGGAAGGGTAGATACAACTTCTATTAACTGTCAACAACCTGTAAACTTGGCAGAAGTGTTTTATAAGAGATTACCAACACTTACTACCACATTTTGTCCAAACATAATATCATGTACCCAAGAAAAACATTTTCCTATCTTTCTGATTAACATAACCAGCAGTATTTGCCTAGTTTTATCCTGCATAATTTATGATTCATTCTCATCCCACACACAAATGTAACATTTCATAGAATAGAAAATACTTTTCTCTTGTGTGTCAGTCCAATTCTTTGCACTTACCCATTTGTACTGTTTCAGGAAGGATGGTTTTAAAAGTCATGTATGCAATATTTAGATTTTCACACAGTTTTTTCCAGCAAGAGTTTTCAGAATAATCATATTCTATCACTAATGAGAAGAGTCTCCAGGGGAAGTCAGCTCCAATGTTCTGATTTTGTATAATAACACAGGCATATCTACTGAGGATATAAAATGAAAATTAAAAATATGTTCAGGTACAACTACAATCAGAACAAAATAAACAAACACACTTCTAGAAGAAGTGTGAAGAATTACAGTTGTTTGAGGTCTGTTCAGAAAAAGAACTTACCTTTCCTGAATTTAAAACCTGTAATTGCTTTAAAAAGTCATTTTAAAATTTGAAGTTGTACTCCCCCATACTCCAATTATCTACTTAAACAATTCCTATCTTCCTGCATACTCATACTTTGTCATTATTTCAGCCTTACACCTTTTATTTTACACGCTGGAGAGTTTTTCTAAAACGCTCATGTGCAATTGCAAGGGCAGCTCCTCTGAGCCCTGTAACTAAGCACTGTGCTGGAATTTGGACAAAATTCTCTGTTCTCAGAATGAAGCTGTAAATCCATATTCTGAAAATGTATTCAAAACAAGATACTACAATGAAAATGAACAAAGCTTTACTGAAGAAAACCACAAGAAAGGATTTCTGGCTCTGTTTTTTGGAATCCAGATTTTAACTTACTTGGTGACGATATCTCTATATCCCAGGATGTTTCCTTTTTTCTCAGAATTCAAATCAATGGCTTTTAAACCTGCATAAAAATTATTGTGATCTTAATCAAATAAATTGTCTTCTGCTAGTACAAAGCTAGTACAGAATGAAGCATTTTTTGCCATTAAGTTTTAAACCCCTGTATGCTTTTTGTATGCTCTAGGTTTTGTAAACATGATTGGAAGATGCAGTTAAGAAAATTGTTACTTGTGTAACACAAAGGCCTCTTTTGTAAAGTTTAAGTTAGTTGGTTTGGTTTGTGTTTGAAATCAAGTCTTAAGAAGTGGAAACAAATCAAACACTTAAAAGTAAACATTATTATAATTAGTAAAAACATTGTGAATGTCTCCCTCCTTTAAAATATTCTGAAAGATAAGCTGTCATTTTTTTAAGGAGCAAAGGAAATTCAACTTTGTTCTAAGAAGCAGAAGAATGGCACAATACTTGACATTGCTAACATTTAAGCAGAAAGTCACTCAAATACGTTTTAAGAAACAATATGAAAAGAATCAATAGCTTGCCCAATACATAAGTACAGGCTCAAATATCAATCTTACGAAACATTTTTTTCTATCAAATGAATCTCCTATGAAGAAAAAGCTTGTATAATGATTACACAAAAGTAAAATGATGACAGTGTGGCTTTATCAGTGGGACTGGGAGAGAGGAAATCCATGTTTTTTTCTTGATTGTAATAGTATGTTATTGACGATGCTCATGTATTTAGCCAATTAACATACAAGGTCAGTAACAAGTAACAAGTGGTGAACAGAAATCATGACCTGCACCAAAATACTCATTTAGAGCCTTATGTTAGAAAGTTTACTTAAGGCTTCTAAATTATCCTTAATTGTGGCATAGAAGGAAGAATACCTCTGACCCACAGCCAACTATAGACAGATAATCTGAGCAACTGATACAATTATATGAGGCCATGGGTGCCACATATACTTTGTGTTCTGTTAATTACAATTTTGACCTGACGCATGAACTCTCATTCTTTTGTAACAAGACGTTATGTCAGAAGTCTCAAAGAGGTGAAAATCAACATTAGAAATGAGGGGGAAATGAAGGTTTATAATAGAATTCGGAAACAGAAAAACGTGAGAAAAGTACATAAAATGTCCTAATGAAGAGAAGGACGAGAAACTTCTGAAAAGCACTTAAAGAGGAAAATAACTAAGCACAGAATGCACAAACTTCTTCTTTCAAAAATAGATTAAAATAATTATTTACCTTCTAGTCTAGATACAGTGTGAATGAGAGCTGCCTTTTCTCTCTCAGAGTCCATTCTTAGTATGATTAGTATCTGGAAGAAGACAATTTAAAGAAGTAAAAACAAATCTTTTAGTCTAATTCTAAACATCAGATAGAAGGTGATGATGTACTGGAGGGAGGCATTACATTCTGCCATACCAATTAGAAAGATTTTCCAGACTGTAAATGGAGTGCTTTGAAGTATTACTTCTAAAGCCAGATTAAATTTGATAGCTGCTAAGCTTTGCTGAAGATGGAAGCACTGAAAAGATTAGAATCCAGCCAATAACCATACTCTGGTCACTACTGGAAAATACGTTCACCTTATCCAAAATTTTGAAACTGAATTTGTATTAAATAATCAAAACATTTAAATAAGAATGTGTAACCAGCAATATTTGCCTAGTTTTATCCTGCATAATTTATGATTCATTCCCAGGACTTACACCAGACCTTCAGCTTCAGACAGGATGATATCTGAACTGGTATGAAGTTTTGTATGCACTTTTCTTGGGACAAACAAGATAAGACTTTAAAGAAGGCTCATCACTAATCCAACTCTAAGACTTAAGGTGCACAAGATAATTATATATGTAAATGTCAAAACTTTGTTAGACCTTTTTAGAAAAAAACTTCTGGACATCTATCCACCTGACAACCTTAAAAAAGACAAATTTCCACATGCTGCTGAAGAGAACAGCCACCTGACAACCCAGTGGTTCCTTTCAAGACAGATTCGGACATCTGTAACTTAAAATGCAGATCTGCTTTTTAACTACATCATTGAATAGTATCCTCAGGACATCCTGTTGTGAGCTAGATCATATATTTTTAGTGATATCCTACATAATCATGAGTAGAAATGAAACAAAGTGAAACAGAAAGATCAGAAATTCTTTTCAGATTTGTTTCTTTTGTTTTGTTAGTACCTTATTTTTACAGAGATGATTTCCTACTCTGTAACCATCAGTAATAAATTTTGTTCATTAAAGGCTAACAAGATTATCATGTTCCATACTGTACTAACAGACGTGATATGACAGAGTAGGAAATGGCTTATGTAATACAGCTTTCACTTTGCATTAAAGCCAGAATACTTCTGTCTCTTCTGTTTGACTGAGACCTGTCACCGAATGTCAGGGAAGCATGAATTATAATTGCAAATAAAATCATGTGTACTCTGAAATTCTGCACAAATTTAAGTCAAAGTGGCAAGTCAAAACTCAGTTATATTTCAAAGCTTTAAAAATTGCATCTAGTGGAGTTCATAAGGAAGGCAAAATTGTCAATGAGCTGACATTAATATGACAAAGTTGTCATATGTCTCCTAGAAAGCAAAATGCATTATGATTAAGAACAAGAAAATGATGATGAAATCAACATACAGGTGCTAATGAAAGATAAGCAACAAAACAATTATTAATATTTTGTTTTAGGTGCTTCATATCCAAGTTAAATTCCAATAAAACAGCTTGTTGGATTTAGCACACCTATGGTGGGGGCAATCCCAAGAACAAGTCAAGTGCAGGTTGGGCAATAAGTGCCCTGAGAGCAGCTGAAGGGGCCTACAGAAAAGCTGGAAGGAACTATTTATTATGGATTGGGAACAGGACAAGGGGGAATGGTTTTAAAAGAGGTAAATTTTGGTAAGATATTTGAAATAAATTCTTCACTGTGAGGACGGTGAAGTGGAGGCCCTGTTACAGATTGGCCAGAGAAGCTGTGGCTGCCCCATCCCTGGAGACATTAAGGACAGGATGGGTGGGGCTCTGGGCAATCTGATCTGCTGGGTGGCATTCTTGTCCGCAGCACTGGGCTTGGAACTAAATGGGCTTTAATATTACTTCCAACCCGTTCCATGATTCTGTGATTCTATACTTTTCTTTTCATGAAAGTTAAATCATGACATGTTCTCTTAACAGAGTCAAAAGAAGAAGTGAAACATGAGAAAGAACTAAAATAAATGAAAATAAGCTTAACAATTTGGGGATTTTTTCAGCTGTGTCTTCAGTAGCACACACAAATTCTACTGCAAAATGTCAGGATATTTAAGTATATGTATAGTATATATATATACACATATTTTCATTTCTGTTTTATTATGTGAGAAGTGTTCTGTAAGTAAATAATAAATAATACACAAATGAAAATGGTATTATTCCCTGCATGGAATCACTCAGAATATTCACATTTCCAGAAAAAAAAAACACCAAAAACTTGAAACTAATTTATTCCACAGTTCTATTATTATCAGTGCCATAACCATACCTCACAGGCATTTACTCATATGAACGTAACATGGGGAGTTTGGGCAGACACATTTGTCAAGCAGAGACAATGGATAACTACAGCCATACAGTCCACAGTGTCTGTGCTCTGAGCACCACTGCACAAATACACAGCTCTTACTTGTGCTATGAGTTTCTGCACCAGAAGAAAAGAAGATTGAAGCTGCCAAATAAAAGGTTATGATGAAATTTACAGTCACTGATATGATACAATATACTTATCAGAGGAACAAATACCATCTGCAAAAAAACAAAGCTCTTACAATTTTAAAACACGTTTTACTCTTGCAGAAGGGGAGATCCAAAGAAACACAAATCTGCATTACTCCTGATAGATGTCTTAAACTTTATGTTATCCTTAATTTTATGTTATGCCTCTCTCCATTATACTTGAAAAGTCATGGCTGTCAGGCAAAGTCCCTGGTGACTGGAAAAAGGGAAACATCCCAGCCATTTTTAAGAAATGGAAAAAGCAACATCTGAGACAGCCAGCACAGCTTCACGAAGGGTAGATCGTGACCAACAAATCTGGTGGCCTTCTATGATGCAGTGGAGGATTTGTCTACCATCAGCAGACAAAAAGAAAGCAACTGCTGCCATTTACCTGGATTTCTGCAAACCCTTTGATATGGTCCCCCACCCTTATCTCTAAATTGAACATATTGATATGGCCTGGATTTCTGGATTATTCAGTGGATAAAGAATTGATGGGATGATTGCAGCCAGAGGGATGTGGCAACTGGCTCTATGTCCAGCTGGAATCTGGCCAAAACTGAAGTCCCCCAGCGATGCATCTCGGGACTGCTGCTCACCATTTTTATCAATGACAAGACAGCAGGATTGAGTGTATCTTCAGCAAGTTCGATGACGACACCAAGCTGAGTGGAGCAGTCAACAGAATAGAAGGAAGACATGCCATTCAAAGTGATCTGGAGAAGTTTGAAAAGTGGACCAACGTGAACCTAAAGAGATTCAACAAGGACAAGTGCAAGGTGTTGTGCTTGTGTTGGGGCAACTCCTGTGGAGCCCTGCAGAGAAGGACTTCTGGTGGATGAAAAGCTATATATGAACCAGCAGTGCATGCTACAAGCCCAGAAGGCCAAATTTAATTTGGTTGCACCAAAAGGGCCAGTAGGGTGAAGGAGGTGATTGACCCTTTCTGTTTTGCTCTCATTCCCCCACATTGAATACAAAGTCCAAGTCTGAGGCCCCCAGCACAAGGACTTGGAGATGTTGGGGTGAATCCAGATGAGGGCTACAAAGGTGATCAGGGGGCTGGAGCACCTCTCCTGCAAAGAAAGATTTAAGAAGCTGGACTTGTTCATCTCGGAGAAGAGAAGACTGGGGAGTCCTCATTACAACCTTTCAGCAATTGACGAGAGTATAAAAGTAAGAGAGAAGCTGACTTCTTACAGGGGCAGAAAGTGATGAACAAAGGGAGATGGCTTCAACCTAAATGAAAGAACATTTAGACTGAATATTAGGAAGTAATTCCTTAATCCAAGGGGGTTGAGGCACTGCAACATGTTCCCCAGAAAGCTATAGATTCCCCATCCCTGGAGGGATTCAAGGCCAGATTGGTTGGGACCCTGGGCAGCCTGACCTTGTGGATGGCAACTCTGTCTATGTCAAGGATTTGGAATTGGATGATCTTCACGGTCCATTCCAATCTAAGCCATTCTGTGATTCTGCGATTTTCCTTATTTAACAGATACCATTTCTCATTTGAAGATGGTTTTACAATTATTACTATATTTTAGATGCGTTTCACTTGCTTAGAGAGATAGTTTATATCGCTAACCTTAACACTCTGTTCCTCTGCATAAGTTTGCATCCAATCTAACAGTCGACACTGAAGCTCTGCTAATCTCGGACTGGATTCATGCTTTTTCTGGCTGCTGTACTGTACAATCTTCAGCTGCCTCCAGGTATTATTCAAACAGGATTCTAAGATGTTTTTATAGATATCCTTTGCTTTAGACAAATATCCTGTTAACAAAACAACAAAAAAAGTAACTGCAGAGACAAAAGACATTTGTTAATATTTGGATTCCTAATCTACATGTACACTAAAATACATGAGGGTATCTTGCACAGAAAAGCTGAACATATAATGGGTGAACAATAAGGAAGAATACTACTATCACTAAGACTGTGTGTAACTGCCATTTATAAAATTGTTATAACTCCTGTAATATCTCTTTTATGATTCCAGCTAGAGTTGGAACTTTGTTATATTTAATTGGTCTGCACGGTTTACACTAAAGAAGTTCCACTGTTCAAAGCTTTACTTGTTGTGTGTTTTCACTATTCTGTTCCCTATTATTTTAATTACTGCTCAGCTGTCAATGATGTCTTTTATACAAATGGTGAACAATGCCAGAGTTATTAAAAAATGCACACACAAAAAAAATAGATCTAAGACATTTGTGGGATGAATCACCCATCGCTGCACAAGTTCATAACAGTAAGTGAGAACTACAGGGCCTATACAGAACTCAATTTTCTAGTATCACTTTGACATGTGCACTATCCTGAGGCAGGTGTTGCTGGGATAAGTGCTGATCAACCTAACAGAGAGAAACTTCTCTTTTCTCTCCCCCCTATCCTCCCACTTTATCTACAATAACAACAAAAACAACCTTTTTAAGAACTCATATTTTCATTCTGAATTTTTCTCCCCATTTTTTATTGCTAAGAAATGATTAGGCAAATACAAATTAATTATTTTTCCAACAGTTCAGTTTATGGCAGATGTTTTCCATGTTACGTCATCTTTGAAGAAACACTCCCCATGAAGGGATAATTTGGAATAACTGAAGTTTGAAACTTGACACTTTTTTCTCTCCTATAAACATGGAGGGAGTCTGATCTTAGGGCATCCAAAAACCATTAATTAATTTATTCTGGTAGATCTTTCTGAAAAATCACAGTACAATGGCAACTTGAGGAGCATGGCATTGTGACTGTAGGCATAAAATAAGGTTATAATGAATTTTTCAGATCCAAAATCTGATTAGCATAACAACAGAGAAACACAAAATTGTCATTTTGAGTCCAGTGCTAAGATCTGGATGGTAAATTCAAAACCCCAGCCTTATGATACTTTTGTTAGGCAGTACTTAAGATTTTGTTTCAAATAGCCCTACTTTTAAGTACTTCATTTTCAATGAACCTAAGACTATTTAAGTGGAAATTATTCCATTTCAGTATGTGAATTGTATACAGCAAAGAACCTGTCACTTTTGCATGTCCAACAGCTTTATCACAGATATTCGAATCAAAACTTGTTGTTTGGAAAGAAATAAACACATTATGTATGTAGATCCTCATATCCACCTAATAACACGAACAGTAGAATATTATTCAGGAACTGAGCACATGTAGCACCAAAGTACAGTCATTCATATTTAAAAATGTAACAAAACAAGCAAGCAAAGGAATAAGAAAATGACATGGAAACTATGGGGGAGGTTTACTCGTTGTCAGCTTACACATTTTACAGACATGAAAGACTGTAGAACAAACACAGAAAAACATGAAGATTCTTGGTGTCCTTGTTCACTATCAAAAACAGACCTAGTGCTGTGTCCAAGCCACATGTTAACAGAAGGTCTCGACATGTCACCAGCAGATGCACCAGAGCAGCATGCCTGAACAGGATGATCTCTTTCTCATCTACTTTACCTTTACAAAGAGAAGACATAGGTGTTGTCTATATAACGTTTCAGAAATTACACAATAAATATGCAAGAAGTTTAAAAGAACTCAACATCTCAGAATTTTCCTTAAATCAGTTAAATAAGTATAATCTTGAACTGACTGTTCAAGAAGGAAAAGGCTTTGATATAGCCTAACTTTCTGTTGTTATTTCATCCACAGCAAGCACCATATGAGGAAGCATTTCTGAAATCTGTGTAGGCATGGATGGTGTTTGCTGGAGAATGGATTAACAGTTCCTAAAGTCTGACATTAAATTCACACTGCCTTATTGGTTTTAGTAAGACAATTTTCAAACAGACACAGAAACCTAAAAATTTCCTATCTTTTTATCCTTTGTACTATTGCCTCATCTGACTAGTCAACAGCACACTTTTGTATACTCAGGAATGTTTTCCTTTCTGTAATTCACTGACATGGATATAGATTTCAGTTTCTCCCTCATATATTGGTGAAGCTGATTGCTTTTCTTTTTGAGGTTCCCTCAAGTTAAGAGAACTCTGCTGATTATACTTTAATATGGCAATCCTAAAAATCACAGGCTGTCATCTTGCAGTGACCACTAAAATAATTTTTATCTTCTTGCCTCATTTGCAATTTCATTGTCATTGCTTTTATTCTGAGAAAGATACATTAAGCCCAGAAAGCAATAAAGTTTGAACAGTTGAAGGTTGTCTCAGAGCTTGTGACATAGTATGCAGACTATACAGGCAGCAGACTGCTTCCTGTATTATTCTACAGTTATTAGCAGTAAAATTAAAAAAAAAAAAAAAAAGCAAAATATTCAAAAGCTTTCTATATCTTCCTCAGCCCGTATTTTTCTGTGAAGTGCGCTGTCCCTCTCATATCTGTAGCATAAAGATCTTCATTGGTTGTCACAAATTTTTCTGTTTTTTTTTCTTTTTTCTAGTTCTACAGAGTTTGCACGTACCAGAAATGAAGTGAGAAAGAAAGGAAATCAATAAGATTTTTTTTCCTTCTGATTTCTAAAGTAGGCTTAGAGTTATTCATTTATTTTCCCTGTAGTCACGTAGATGTGAAAAAAAGCTACCAAACTACCAAAAGAAACAATAAAAACATATAGACAGCTTTTCACATTAAAATATCTAAAATGAAATAAAAAACAGCTTGATATAGAAGCAACATTCTTTAATCATATCTAAAATATTTTAAAATGAAATTCACTTAGAATACTTCTTGTGTTACAATTTTAAGTTAATAAATATAGGACTAGAAAAGTAGGAAATGTTATTTTGGAAACAAAACTACACAAGACAAACTGCTGAAACTTTGTTACTTAACAGAGACATTGAGCTGCCTGTGACCAAGTAAACCTATGTTATTACTGCAGATAGAACACAGACTTTTTAAAAACATACCTTCTTTAAAACGATCACATATCACCTTCTCCTGTTGTCTTAGGAAAAATCTTGTGTGATCAAACTTAACGCTGTCAAAGCTCCAACTTACAGAAGCAAGTACACCCAGATGAGTCAAATCTTTTAAAGCAGAAGTAGCTGCTCCCTTCAGCAGACAATATGACTGGCACTGGCTTTCTGAATAAAAGAAAACACAATGGTAAAGTTTGGCTTCATGTACCAGACTACAATATACAGAACACCTAGAAACACAAAGCTGCAACATTAACAGAAAAACAAGTGTTCACTAGAGAGCCTGCTGGATCATAGAATTAAGCTACTCCTCACAACAGGCAACTGCGTTACTTCATCCATCTCATAAAGTGACCGAAATACATGATAGATAGTTAGGATTTCATGACTCCTACTAAGATTGAACTATTACTCCATTGTCTAATTATTTTCTTCTACTCTGTACTCTTAAGTTTAGACTCAGCTGATTTAATTTCATTTGTTATGATAACTTCAATTTAAACAGCACTTCTCCTTCCCTGGCATTCAACTTCTGACATCTTTGCCTAGAGAAGCCAAAGAAACCAATCTCTTACTTATTCTTTAATACCCATTATTTTAATATGTTCATTGTAATTGACCGAGTTGATCTTTTTAAGAAGATGAGAACTCACTGAGTGTTCTCTTCCAAGAATTTACTATTACTTTTCAAAGTATTTTCAGCTGACCTATACAAATCATGTAATTCAGCTAGCTGATGACTGAGCTTTATTTGATCAGAGCATTACTTCTTAACAATTAAGTACTCATTAAACATACTAAAAAAAAATTACTCTCAAGTCTAATTTTTCATTCTGTGTGAAAATACGCCAGATGCTACAGAATTTTGGATGCTCATTGTATAATTTAGTACAGATATTCCTGCACTGATGTATCATTTTATTCTTAAAGTATAATTCTAGTCATCATCTTCACTGTTTCACTGTTAAAAAAAAAAAAATAGAAAAAGAAAAAAAAGTGTAAGCAAATCTTTCTAACATCTATTTTGGCTATAGTTTGTTTTTGAGAATGATTCCTTTCCATTACATGCAAGGCCATCACAGAATGGATTGGGTTGGAAGGACTTATAACCCATCCAGTTCCAACTCCATGCTATGAGCACAGCTGCCACTCACCAGATCAGGCTGCCCAGGGCCCCACTCAACCTGGCTTTGAATGCCTCCAGGCATGGGGCATCCACAGCTTCATCACCCTCTGAGTAAGGAATTTCCTTTAAATATTAAATCTAAATCAAAACCTTTTCAGTTTAGAACTCCTGTCCCTTGTTCTGTCACTGCATATGTTTGTAAATGTCTTTCTTATCAGCACCTTTTAAATACTGGAAGGCCATAATAAGGTCTTCTCTGAGCCTTCTCTTCTCCAGACAGAAAATCTCAGCACTCTCAGTCTTCCTTCACAGGAGAGAGTCTTCAGGTCTCTGCTCATTTTGTGGTCCCCTTCCAAATTTGCTCTTACAGGTCCATGTCCTTCTTGCCCTGGGGGCTTCAGAGCTAGATGCAGTACTGTAGGTAGGGCTTCACAAGAGCAGAGGAGGACATTTACCTCCCTCAATCTGCTGGTCACGCTTCTTTTGACACAGCCCGGTGTAGTACAGTGTTTCTGGACTGCATATGCACACTACCAGCTCATGTCCAATTTTTCATCCATCAGTACCCAGAAAACCCTCTTTGCAGGGCTGATCTCAATCCTTTAATCCCCGAATTTGTGACACTGTTTAGGATTGCCTCAATCCAGGTGCAGCATCCTGCACTTGGGTTTGTTGAAGCACAATGAAACACTCTCCATTTCAAGGACTGTAATGGAGTTGGACATGCTTTGAATGTGTTTGAGGCTGTAAAATATCCTGGATAAATATCTTTTTAATATTTATCTACCAGGAATGGCTCCTATCTACAACTCCTGTATGGTAGAACTGTAGTTCTCAGTGCATGTTCTCTGATGTAATGCCTTAAAAAAATACAGCATCAGGAGTTCACTGAGTAAGGCTCAGTCATGTACTAGATAAACACAAGGCAAGCTGCTATTGTGTGGATGTAGCACGGTTACTTTATTGAACTGTATTTTATTAAAGACGTTTTCACTGCTAATCCATCCTGCCTCCCATCCTCTCATTTACTCTACAGAAAAATTCACATTTGTAATATGAGAATACTGATTAATCTGAAGAGACTTCATTTCAGCTGATGGGTCAGACATAACTAAAAACCTGCATTTTTTGGTTTGCATGCGATCTGTCTTCGTCTTAAGTCGTAATCACATAGCCTGCACTCACACCAATGTACACAAATGCCCATCTCTTTTGAATGTCATCAATCACAAGGAAGATAGTAAGTTTAATCATCTCCATATTTATCTAACTGAATTTTTCTAATATAAAAATGACAATATGCTGCAATGCTATGCATCTGTAGTGCTATAAAGTACATAAAAAATTAGTATACCTGATGCTTGAATTTTGATTATGACACTGCTGTCATTCTCTTGCTCTTTTTTCTCTGTTCTTGCAGGCTCACAAACGGAACTGTCTTCTTTGTGATCAGATAAATGTAGTTCTTCAGGCTGTAGCACTGAGTCATTGAATCAGGGATAAAAATTTTGATACAAACATAACAAAATCCTCTCAATGTTTAAGAAAATTGTTCTGTAAATAACTTTACATGCAGAAAAGCTTTCCAAATTAAATAGCTTGTATGACATACACAATGCTTTCTTTTCACAAACATCTCATTTACTACTGAAAAAGGCGTTGAGACAGACCAAGACGTGGCAGTGTCAGGCTGCACTTCCCTGGAAGTGAGGTGCTAACAAGTTCTCAGTCATTGTGAGCGGAGATGCTTGATAATGAGCAAGTATGAGTAGAAGGGATTAGATAATATAAGCAACCCAGAAAGAACATGGAAACAGCAAAGGGCAGAAGAAAAATTTCTTTTTTGAACAATCGCTTACATAAGATAACAATTTCTTCCTATCTCACAGCTATCCATTGCAAGTTACTAGTATTTAGTTTTGTTTTTTGTTTTTTGCTTTGCTCTTTAAAGATGCTGATGCATGACCTCCATGCACTTCTGTTCACAAAGCTTCCTTTGTCAGTGCTATCTCTTATTTCAGAAATGGGTTCTGACTGGTTGTCTCCTAAACACTGCCAATTATTTTCAGTTAAGAACTTCAGCCAACTCAAAAAACTTCTCTTGTATATTTTCTAAACTAGGTATTATGCAAAGTGGAATCTTTAAAAAGTAAGCTACACAAGAGAAACAAAAGTGGAATAGCCCTATGAATAGTGCAAGTATTTATTAAGCTAAATTTAGAATGACTTTTAATAAGGCTTTAATTATTACAAAAACATATACATTCACAACTTTTTCACACCAGTGCTTTTCACATTAATAACTATATATTTTTATGCATTGCTTTTACATCAGACATAACAGACCCGTTACACTGGGGTCTACCTGCTAGCATGTATCTTTCTACAGTTTCATTAACCTAAGCTTTAACAAGCTTACTACTCCCTGCTTGGAAGTGTAGAATTGACTGCTTGTCTTTCAAAACATTTTTATTTGTATTCTTAGGAGATGCAGTTGTAGTCAGAATTCACTAGATGGTAGCATAAAGCTACATTTCTGATAACTTGCTCTAGTAGTTTTAAAAGTGAGATTGCTTCTCCATAAGGCAATGAAAGTTCAATGTTTGTTTGGTTGTTTGGTTGTTTGTTTTGTTTTGTGAGTTTGGGGGGACAAAGGGGAGCAGTGAGATGTCTTCCAGAAACTGCAAAAGATGAATTTCACCCAGAATTAATTTGCTCGATAAGATTAAAAATAACTTGTAGTTAAATAAACATCCTAATTCAATTCCATAATAATTATTGCTTAAAATTTTTATTTAACATTATTTTTTCAATGATGAGACTCAACTGAAACACAATAAAAGGTTGGTGTCAAAAACTCTGGTACCCAAGTCCAAAAAATGAAAAAAAATATTTTCTTGTATGACCATCATGAAAATGAGCATGGAAATATGTCACTGCCTCACAAATCACCCCACTCTTTTATTTTTTAAAACATATAAGGACTTCCTCCTATTCTTTTTCCTCTGTTTTCAGTCCAGCAGTGCTCACTCCATACCCTGAGCTTCTCTCATAAGCACTGTGAGAACAAAGCTGACAATAATTTCTTGTTTTCTCTTACACCTGTATTGTCTCATTATTTTCTGTGGTCTATAGAAACAAGAACAGTTCCAGCAGTTCTTTTGAGAGAACTTTATCTCTTGTTCATTGTCTAAGCTATGCTAACTCTACGAAGGCGAAAATAAAAGTAACTGATTTTTCCAAAGAACTTACTCAGGACATACTGAAAAAAGAGAATCCCAGCATGGCTGAGATAGGCAGGGATCTCTGTGTTTGCCTGTTCTAACACCTGTCCCAGCAGGAAGACCCAGAGCAGGATGCCTGGGACCACATCCAGGCCTGGGAATCTTCATGGCAGAAACTCCACAGCATCTGGGCAGCCTGTGCCAGGGTCTAGCACTCACACTGTAAATAAGTGCTGCCTGATATTCAGATCTTCAATTTCAATTTAGTACAATTTAAAGTCACTTTTCAGAACAGGAATAAACTCATGTATGTTACAATAAAAGACAACCAATCAGCAACAACAAGAAGAAAAACAAAAAGAAAACACAACTCCAACAGAACTGAAAAGAAACAAACAAAAAAACCCCCAAAGAAATCTAAAGAACAAATGCAGTCAAGAACCTTAGATGAAAATTTATCTACATTAAAGATTTTAAAAATTTTACCACTGAGCTGAGATTTCTCCCCCATAATTCTATAAACATGAACTACCAGCATCCATGGTAACTGGCATTAGAAAACAGTACTGAAAATGGAATAACAGCAGAATAAAATCATTCACATACCTTTTTCAGGATGATCTACACCATTTTTTTCCTGTGTTTGTGTGACTGTGCGTTTGCACCTTAGCATTATAAAGTTGTTCAGATCAGAATCATCATTGTCCCATTTTGAATCAAGTGTGAACGACGTGAGGTTTTGACCCTCAGAAGAGTTGTGTTGTTTAAAAGGTGTATCTTTACAACCGACAGACACAAGTGATATGTCTGTCTTCTCTTCTCGGTTGAAGAAATAAACAGGTTCTTCAATCTTTCTCTTTTGTATATTTCCTCCAGTAACATTTTCCAGAGGTGTATTTGTTTTGTCTATTTTGAGAGAAGACGCAGCATTTATAGGCAGGGCACAGTGCTGCATCTTGGTCTGAGGTGACATGCAAACATCAGTTACTTCATCCATCTGACCTCTTTCACTAGAAAGCAATTCCTGATCTGGCATGGAATTCTTTTCTTCAGGCCATCCTAAAAAATAAAATTTGATTTCTCTGCTGTAATGCAGATTTTTTTTTTTTTAAATTGCTCCTAGTTGAAGTAAATTACTTTGGATTGAAAGCATTTTTGAATTTCTTCTTTCTGTCTTTCCAGATTTCATTTTAGAAAATTTGTACTGATTACTTCTGAATACTACTGAGTACTTCTGAGAATCAGAAGGCCATACTACTGTTTTTGTTAAGTTTTCAAAAGTGATGCTTCCTGCTGTTAGGTTTCTAAGAAGTGGGATAGCAACACATTTGATTGGGAAAACTTCTCCCTTATATCCAATCTAAATCTCTTTCAGTTTGAAACCATTTCCCCTTATTCTATCACAACAGACCCTACTCAAGTGTCTGTCTCCTTTCTCATAGCTGCTCTTTAGGTACTCAAAGGCCACTATCAGGTCTTCCTGGAGCCTACTCTTCTCCAGGCTGAACAACCCCAGCTTTTTCAGCCTGTCCTCATCGGAGAGGTGTTCCATCCCTTGGATCATTTCTGTGTCCCTACTCTGGACATGTTCTATCAGGTCCAGGTCTCTCCTGTACTGAAGACTCCCCGTTCTGATGCAGTGCTCCAGGTGAGGTCTCTTCAGTGCAGAGCAGAGGAGCAGGATCACCTCCTTCACCCTGCTGGCCATGTTTCTTCTAATGTAGGATACAGGATACAGACAGCCTGGGCTGTGAAGACACACTGCTGGGTCATGTCCAGCTTGCCATCTACCAGTACCTCTAACTTTTTAGCAGGACTGTTCTCTATCCTAATGTTTCACAGCTTGTACTGGTGAGGGTTGCACAACTGAGGTACAACACTTTGCACTTGGATATGTTGAACCTGAGGTTTACCCAGGTCCACTGCTCATGCCTGTCTAGGCCTCTGTGAATGGCATTCCAAATCTCAGGTGTGTTTAGTTTAAAAGTTTATCAAAAATAATAAAATAAAGAATAATATAAAGAAATAAATATATATATATAAAATATATATATAAAAAATAAAATAAAAAAATAATTTTATTAAAAAAAAAAAAAAAAGTTTATCAAAATATTCTAAACCAAAATTGCTATTTCCAAAGGAATTCTCCCGTGTAGAATCACAGAATAATCATCGTAATGGAAAAGATCTCTAAGATCACATAGTCCAACCACTACCCCATCACCAAAATGCCCACTAAACTATGTCCTTAAGTGCTATGTCTACAAATTTCTTGAGTATGTCCAGTGATGGTGACACCACTAGTGCCCCGGACAGCCTGTTCCAATATCTAAACACTCTTCTGGAGAAGAAATTTTTCCTAATATCCAACCTGTACCTTCACTGGTGCAACTTGAGACTATTACTACTCATTCAGTATCACTGCCACCCAGGAGCAGAAGTCAACTCCCACCTCGCTACAACCTCCTTTCAACAAGTTGTAGAGAGCAATAAGGTCAGCCCTGAGTCTCCTTTTGTCCTGACTGAACAATCCCAGTTCCCTCAGCCACCCCTCAAAGACTTGTGCTCCAGGCCCTTTTCCTTCTCTGGGAACATTTCAGTATCTGTTTTTAACCGAACAAAGAGTACACTTATTCAAGCAATGGGCTGTGATGTATGAAACCATTTAATTTAAAAGAACTATGGTTGACATTTCATCTGCATACTTTTAGAAAATATAACTTTGTGTATTTAAACGTTTTCGTTACTGCAAGATGTCATAAGTTTCCGAAAGTACCTCTTAACTACAGCAGTGTTTCTGCTTCACAGTGCTACAAAACTTGTTCTTGAAAACAAAAAATCTTTCATTTCTGTCCTTGTTGGAAGTATGTAATCAACCCTTTCTTTCACTTTCTCTGTATCTATCTTTGCCTTTTTACCACTGATTTATTTTAAAGATACTTACTTTCTAACTGACGTATAGAAAATTGTGTGAATGTTTCTACTTCTGTAGAAAACAAACTGTTTGTATTATTGGAATCCCTCTTAAATTGCTCCAAAGTATCAGTGCAGACCAGATCTAATCTCATGTGAAGCCACCAGTCCTTTTCAAGTGACATAAACATTGGTGTTTCTACATCAACTGACAGCATTTTCTTTAGCTCTGTGAGAGAATGGCGCCGATGTTCAAGTTTAAAGCTCTGATACTCTACAAAAACAGAAATCAACACACATCAATAATTTAGAAACGGAAATAAGCAGAATGTCATTTTGCAAATACCAGGTACTCATGATCCTTGTAGTATGCATATCCCTCGGTTTTATTTTTGTTTGTAAGCCAGTGCCCATTATGAGACTTAAAAGCAAAGCAGTTACTAGTAATGAGCATTCTGGTGTTGTCAGAAATCACCTGCAGCTTTTTGTTGTTGTTGTTTTGTTTTGTTTCATAACATGAATTCAGCTCTTGTCAAGTTAAAAAATTATTTTTTATTTTCAGTATTTTCCTATTGCTTGAAAAACATTACTTCAGATAAAATAGCATCCAAAATAGAATTACTTCAATAGATTTTATTTTTATGCTCAGACTACCTCACTTCTTCAACACAGTTAGTAGTATCGAACAAAATATTTTGTAATGAAGTTGAAACTCTTCATTCAAATTATCTCCACGGAAGAATACACGGCATATTAAATTCTTTGTTGCCGTATTGATGTTCCTCTTGCTTACTTTAAAAAGTCAGGTTATCCAAACCCAAGAGTTATATTAACAGGCTAAGCCTCAGTGGCTCAGAAGACATGCTCTGTATTACAATTTTATTTTTTCCACCTCATTTTCTCCATGTATGTAGAAGTGTTCAAAATCAGTTAGAAATTCAGTATTTCCTTACCGACAAGTAAAAGAGAGTTCACATTATCCCAGTACTTCTCTGATTGCCATACCAAGGAGTCTAAGTATTCCTTAGAGGGCTCTGTAATCAAAACACTAAGAAGAATATAAAGAAGACTTAAAAGTGTGAAGTTTAACAGCATCATCTGTTGAATTTTAAAACTGGTTGATTTATACAAAACTACTTCTAAAGACACTATCTCTTTAAATTTCATGTTCACACACTCATTCATCAAAAATATTTTCTTGTGCCTATAGAACATTCTCTCTAGATTGTGTTCTCTGCCAAAAAAGGTATTTAAAGCCTTTCTGCATATGCGGAAGAGACAGCAAAACGAAAAAAGTTAGTCTTACAGCAGAATAAAAAGGAAAGGATGAAGCCATCCTGATTCTATGTCAGTATGAAAAGGCTTGAATTCCATTGCTGTGCACCCCCACGCCACAGAACATACTTTCTTACTTTCTCCAGAATCTCTTCTGGCGGGTGATACCTGGTAAATGCATATACTTGCTATATATACATGCTATACACACATATTTACTGCTGCCTATTCAAAAAATGAGAATGGATTTTCAGTCTATCAAGTCTCCTAGGAGAAGAAGGTTTACAATAGAAAATGAGGTTTCTTTTTCAAGCTCTGTTAAAAAAGGCCACAGATAGAGATAATTCACATTGTTTATACGGTAAGACAATATATGTATAACTCTCTCAGCGTACATCACTACCAATTAACAAATAGACCAAAGCAGTTTCTGCACTAATTTTAAGGATTTATGATTTATGGCATAATTTATTACTATAAAGTTTTCATTACCTGTTATCAAAAAGAGGATTAAGTTCTTCTTGAAGTCCTACGCAGAGAAAATTCACCTGTGATCTTTGTTGTTTGCATAGAGGAGTTAAAGGTACTTCCATTTCATCTTTCAGATATGAGATGTGCTTGGCTAGAAAATGTATAAAACCCCACCCAAACCAAACAAAAATCTAATATAGTTCACAACGCTTCACGTGAATGAAGCATGAGAACTTAGAAATTTTACGATGATGGTCTGCACTAACATTCCTAATGTTTTTATGGGATAATACACCACTTCAGCAATAAAAAACAAATAGGCATACTTTGTATTTAATTCCCAGACAGTTTGGAGATAAAAATGTACAGAGATTACATTCCCTCATTCATTCTGTAACGTAATTCTGGCTACCTATTCTGCCATGTAAGGCAATTAAATTACCATGTATTATGAGTGAGGTCTGACATTACGTGATGACCACTGTTGGCTTTCTGAGTTCACACATAAATGAAACTATTCAGATTGGAGAGATGAGACAATTTTTGTGGAGGTTATAACTGCATGTACAACTGAATAGAACTAGAAAATTCAGGAACAAAGTTCAGGCTTATAAAGATGGAATTGTTTCCAAATAGAGCTAGTTGTTTCAATTCACAGGTGTGAACACTGAAATGAATCACAGCAATGTTTCTAAAGGTCATATATAGACAAGCATGCTTGTTACTATTATGTGTCAGTCATTTTTCACAAGCTTTTTTTTGCTAATCATATTAAATGTGAATATTTTAATGGATTATTTCTTTCCATTAAAATCTTATGCAGAATTTGCAACTTGGTGGGTTTTTGTTTTTTTATAATTCCATAAAAATTGCAGGTCTATATGATTGGCCTGGTATTCATCTCCCCAGCACTCTTCCAATAGTATTGAAAGTTATGTTTGACCAGAAAGCAGAGGTCACAAAAAACAAACAAACCCAACAGTTCTTCCATGCTCTCAGAAAACTAACAGCCAGAAAAAGTGGAATTAAATTAGTGCCTCCATATGGAAAAACGTTTGTAACAAATTCACTATTCACTTCAACAGGCTGTAAGCAGCTGCAAACACCATAAGCACGTGTTTAGGCCAACTGTCACTCAGTAAGCTCAGACACCTGCCCAGCGGCTTGCAGCTGCTCCTTGTCCAAACTAACAAGCAGACTGTAGGGCAGGAAGGATACAGGAGAGTGTTAGGAAGCTAGAAAATAGGAAACAATGTATGTTGAAAAATACAAAATTAAAATTGTCACAGAAAGAAGCACATTTCCAAATAGTATAATTTCTTTCTCACTTAGAACAAAAAAAAAAAACTCAGTGAACTTCAGCAATGAACTTCAGCTATGAACTTCAGATTTCCTAATATGTTTTTCATGTCAGGAAACAAATGTTATGATTTTTCTTGGACAAGATTGGAGCTTATCTCAGGACAGCAAAATTTCTGAATAAAGCACAATTATTTCTCTTTTAGCAATACTGTTCATACTCATTCACATCTAATTATTCTGCCCTTGAGACTAGAACATCATGACCCACTACATTAGCTGAACATTGCCTCCACTGAGAGAGTTATTCACTTTCTAAATACATAAAATCCTGAGAGGCTTCTCTTGACTCTCATTTCCTTTATCAAAAAATAACCCCTATAGCTAGCAGGAAAGGTTGGTAAACAACGAATGTTGATTAAAAATGCCATTATTTTCAGACTCATTCTTCTTGGAGTCTTAGCAAATATGTTGTGCTTCTGCTAACTCAATACAGCAAAATTAAGAAAGAGTTGGAGAATACTAAGATTTCCCTGTTGAAATTCGATTCGATATAGGAACTTCCGTTAGAAACTGTGTCTTCCTAATACAGTTGGGTTTGCAGATGACAAGCCTACAGATCTGTGAACATCTTTAGAAGAAAGAAAAAAATAAAAGAAAGATATGCAAGTTGTCTGTGCCCTAGTGACTGAATCTTACTCAGTTCAATAGCAGATCTCAGCCAGAAAATTTGTAATAGAGATTAATGATGTCGCTTTCTTTTAAAAAACAATTCAAGATGTCTCTCCTACTCATCTGTGCTGGAAGAATGGACAAGATACTACGTAAGGCCATAGCCAACTGTACTTCAGCTCCTCCTGCTTATTAGTTTAGTGGATTCAGATTGAAGTTAATCTTGTGAGACAATAATTTACGGAGGGAAATTAAGTTTAACTTTGTCTTCGTGGGAAAACAAAGCTTAAGGCAAACTGACCATACACCACACACTTGGAGCACATATGATTGCTCCCATCAAAATCCCACTATAACACAATGTCAGGAACACAATACTATTAGTCTGAAAGAGAAAGACATCAATCTTCTTTAAATCATATTAAAACTGAGATTAAAAAAGGGTTTTTGATCTGAAGAAAACACAGAATTACTCTAGAATTTTTAGAAATGCTGAATGGAAAATTATCAAGTGAACATGTGCTGTAGGAGAACACTGCTACTGCCCAATACAAAAATGGGTAGACCTTCTGCAAGATAGAACATACATTAGAGGGAGAAATTACAGAATCATAGAATCACTAGTGTTGGAAAAGACTTCTGAGATCATCTAGTCCAACTGTCTTAATAGTTATTCATCTAAGTGCTGTTTAATCAAATGTTGCCACTTTTCCCATGACACAATGAATTTCAAATGCCACTTTCTGTCCAGGCTTTTCAGAATGAAATTCCCTGATTTCAGCATAGGAAAAGCAAGGATTTAACTCACATTTCAGCAACTCAACATTTTCACTTTATTTCTGCAGAAGACAGCTTCAGTGTCTGTTTCAATTCATTTCACACAGCACTCCTGAACCACTTACAAGCCAAATGATTGCACAGTAGTTTTGTACCTCTGGAAGACCTGACCTTGGTACTTCCCCCAGAATTGTCCTCCAACACCATTCTTTTAAAGTATTTACATAAGTACTTAAACTTTAAACTGCACTCTTTCACTTCAAAACCATAATCAACTTGACTTCGCTTTACTCTGCCCTCCATGAGTAGATAAGTTGCAAGATAAAAAAAAAAAAATAATAATACAAAAACTAAATATGAAAGTTACATGCACCATCTTTAGCCAAAAGAAATGTAAAGAACCAAAGCTGGTTGCTATTATCTTTCAGCACTCTCGAAAGGAGCACGGCACTTCTACCCATCTATGGTGAAAGTACAAAATAGATTACCCAAGCCAAATGCTCTTATTTTAAGTAAATGAGGCACATATGCTCCCAAGAATATACCATGGGGACAACCACCCGAAGAATTTATTTGAAGTATCAGGATTGGGTGTAGGTCTTCTTACCTGTGTCAGAGATTTCCAACATACTTATGCTGTTACTGGAGCTAACCACTGAAATAGGACAGTATTTGGCAACTTCCATTTTGTTTGCAATTTTTTCTTTGAGAGCTGAAAATGGATTTTAAAGGATGCCATAAATTAACCATTTATTGATCTTTCCTGTCAAAACAATTAAAAAAAATCTCCTTGGTAGATCTCCATAATTTATCAGTATGAAAAATTCCCATTATGATTAGTAGCACAAAGTGCCATAAATCAGTGATTTATAGACCAGAACAGTGCCCAGTCTTGTCCCTTGGACTTGCTGGAAAACAACTGAAATGCACTGTAGTTGCAATCTGAACCACTCAGCCTTTTTACTTCTTCAGTGACGTGATTTCTGCAACAAGTGGGTAGCCTAAATGTAGTTTACTAAGTGCTTGTGTACGCAGGTTCTCTTGCTGCTGAAGAGGATTAAAATAAATGTCAATCCATTCCTTTTTATTCTATACACAAAATCCTCAAACATCTGCACTGGAGGCCAGGTCATTTTGCTTGGTACTGGAATATGACGTGTACGATTTAATGTACTAAATGTATCAGAGAAGCTTCCCTCTGCAAATGTTGTTTCAAAGTCTTGCTCCTACCTTCAATAAGCAACAGTTTCACTCTAATTTGCATCCCCCAAAAAGAAGCAGTTTTCCTCACTTGTTTGATAAAACTAATGCAAGTTCATTTATAATTTATTTTTCAGCTCAAAGTAAAGAGTCCCAGGCAGTATCTTTTTCTCTTAGCAACACAAAATAATTCCACATAATAACAGAAACCCAGATATAGTTATGAATAAGCCTCCTGTTTATTTCAAGTTTACAGCATAACTGAAGACTAAACCAGCCATTTCCCCTTGGCTATCTGATGATACATTTCTAACACTCTGAAATTTCTGTATGGCATAATTCATGGTTTCACATATAGAAATTCTAATTTGATACAGTCTGAAATAAATTCTAAATGAATTGAATGTAAAAGATTAGATCATGTTAAGCCTTATTCCTTATTGTAAAAACAATAAGGAAACTGGATAAAGCATTTAAGAAAACCAGCTCTCACCTTCTTTGATTACCTCTTCACACATATTTTCAAAAGCCATATTTTCTGGAGCTAAATTTAGTAACTCCTTCAATTCCAAATATGATGGAATCTTATTGGACTCTGATTTGCTGTTGCTGCTTTTGCAGAATTCTAACTCAAAAGGCAACACGAAATACTGAAAAATATTAATCATCACAGAATGTTAAGTAAATTTTAAATTTTCTTTGACATTATTGTAGAGTCTTAACTTGGAAAAAATTAATTAGTTAATCAAGTTAAATGAATTCTAACCTGATCTCAGAGCTTTTGAGAAAGAAGACATGAAATACACGTGGCAGACACAAAGCTTTGTTCAATACATAGAAAAATGACAGCGTACAATATTTCAAAATGAACCAATGCGATAAAAAGAGTAGATCTAAACAGATATTTCTGAATCAAGCAAAATCCCCATTTGTTTAACTGAATGTTTGCTTTTTATAGAATATTAAAATACGGAGAAAGATAAATTTGATTTTCATTTTGTTTCCTCAGAAAAGAAGCTTGGTTCCAGAGCATGCATTAGAACTTTCTCTTTTCCATAGACACACCATGGCTTTCCACTCCAATTCATTTTTGCTCTTAGTGCAACGTTACCTACACAAATATGCCAACACGTCAGGTTTCAGTAGGAACAACTTAACAGGGTGAAATTCTTACCAACTGTACTGAAAAATTAAAAATAGGCAAATAATACCAGTGTTTTTCTAACCACAGAAACAAGAAGCTTCAAATATTTACAAAATATATATTAAAAAAAAACTCCATGACCAGCAAATGAACAAGCAATAATACACATAAAACAATCACTAATAAAATAATTGGGCAGAAACAACATCGTGATACCTCTTTATCTTCTAATGTTGTTTTACAGAATTCCTCCATAATTCCTTGAAATTCGTTCTTACTCTCCTGCATTTCTATTTTATTGCGGAAAGTCAAACACTCCCTTTAAAAGACCAGAAAATAAAGGAAGTGATTACTTCATATCTAAGATTGAAAATCTTAGCAGTAGCTTTGACAGCTACATATGTGGAAAAACTTTTTTTTTTTCTAAACACATACTTGGCACTTCCAAGGGATGTTTTAACAAAACGTATAATTATATGCAATTGTTTTTCAAGAAACAGTACAGCAGGTGCAGAGTAGTATCACTTATTTGGATCTGTCTTAAAGCAACAACAACAAACAACAGAAACAAAAATCTACTTTTTAAAATTGTTAATTTATAACTGTCCTGTCTTGTGAAACTGCCTACTTTCTGGAAAATCTGCAGATCTTGTTTTTCTCTAAGATTTTATGCTTTATGCAAAATTTCTCTAATCTAAAAATGATATTATTTGATTTCAGTTGCTTTTCATTCCTATTTTCAGGAATCTTTCATGCACTAAAAAAGTAGAACATGCTGACTATTAAAAAAAGTATTTTCCTTAGTGTAAGTGACAGTATTCTAAAATGGTGAGAAACTAAATTTAAAAGTCAGACTATTACTTGTTTTTCACAGCAACAATACAAAGACAGGGTGAAAGATTTTTCAAGCAGAAAGAAACCTGTTCATTGGACCTGCTCCTTGTGGCCTTTGTAGGGTGGTAAAACTGAAAAGAATCGCCCTTTTAGTGGGACAGCTTTTCCATCTACACCTGGCACCACTATCTTCCTAGAGGAATACTGTAGATCAAAGAGTAAAAATATGCCCATGTCTAGCTTCGAGATATCACCCAACTTTACATTAATTTGAAATTTATCTAAATGTATCTTTGTCTACATGAGTCTCCCTGGGTGCTCTACTAGGTGATTAGGACTCCCTACCATGATATATTTGGTGACTGGCTAGCTGTGCATCAGCAGGCCAGAGCTAGTTCTCCAAATGTTCACACTGACATTTTTTCCCACGTGACTTTTATTTTTGAAAGTTATAGGGGAATTTGGATTGTGTTCTCTTTGGAGGAAATTTACTGAAGTCTACATAAGCACAATGCCTTTGTTCAGGACTCACTGGAAGATTAGAACGCATGTTCCAAAAAACAGGAAAATAACTCATCCTTGTTCTATTATTACGCAGGTACAATTAAATTAGCTAAATTCTACTTCACCTTGTTTGTGAATCTGGCAACCCTGACAAGTGCAAAGTTATACAAGTCATCTGAACATGGAGTAAATCAGCAGAAAATTTAGCCAGACTGAACTCAATTTAATGGCATTATACTGAGAGGGAATCAGGCAGTCGAGGGGAGCATGAGATCCCTTGGAAATGGATGTTCTTCCTGCATTTCAAGACTAAATTCCTGAGCACAATTAATTCTTACAAAGTATAATAACAACATGACTTCATTTATGCACTGTTTTAAATAGCATGTATAAATTTTATCGTAAGATTTTTTTTCTGTGGGAGAAGCTGAAATCTTTACCTGTTGAACTAGTTAAAAAGTTAATACATGAAATCTGTTAACCTGTCAAAAGCTTTCCTCATAAGTTATTATTTATACTTAATGCTATTCAATTTGTAGATACCTAAAAATATTCTCTTCTGTTAAATTCTCTCCTTCAGAAACTAAAAAAGGATCTCTCACACAAAAAAATTTAAGTCTGCCCAGAAGTGTAGATAAATTAGGAAGTTTTTTATGATAGTTTTTCAGATTATCAACAAAAACAAATTCATCTCCAACATGTAGATCTGAAGAAAAATAAGAAAAAGAATGATCAGAAGAATTATCTAGTGACATTCCAAATGCTACAAACATCAGCAAAACAATAATTATGTCTTAGTTTAAAGATTTTATGGTTTCAAAGTTTTAAATGTAACTTAGTCTAGATTTCCAGAGGCATAACCGACAAGTTCTCTTTTCCTTTAGCTTTTTTTCTTTTCTTTCACGTAACACTTGTTAGAAGGAAAAGCTGCTTTATTTTCATTCCCTTCTTTGCATTATCAAATACCATAAGGACCTTTTGCAGCAGGTTTTGGCTGAATAACTTAGTATTAACAACTTAGCAATTTGTAGCAGGCTCATACGTTTCAGCAGGCAGTAATGAAGAAATGTGTGCATTACATCTAAAAGTAAAATGTGGATTCGCTAATTCTGCAACAACGATAAACTTTCTGGAAAAAAAAACAGACAGAAGTAGAGGAGTTGACAAATGATGATGATTTCAATAAAAAAGAAATAACTGACTTTAATTTCTCTTCAATCTGCATTAGCAGGAATAACTATGAAATACTTTGATACACACAGGCTAGTAGAAAAAACACAACAATACATAGCAATATATCTAGAACTAAACTTTAATCTCCTTCTATTTGAAATACAGTTATAAATTATCATTTCAAATTCTCTACCACATTCTTCCTTAATTTGGCATTATTCACTTTTTCCAATCAAATCGCATTGTACGACTCTTAATATTCCTGTTCTGATAACATTTACCTATGAAGTAAATGTCTATGTTTTGTCATTCACTGTATACATCTTCATGTTTTTTCTGAAAGTTGGTTTTATGCTGACAACAGATTAGTCAGAGTCAACTACCAGGTATTCAGTGACACCAAATAGCTTTAAAATTTTTCAAAATGAGAGATAAATGTTCAAATAAATACTCCCCTCAAAGGTCAGCCTTTTGCTAAGATCTCCTTCTTTAATGCAACAACAGTTAAGAAAAATGGCTTGAAGTAACGCAGTGTTTGTGCTATCAACAACTATTTATCTGTTAATTCAATAGGCTTGTCAAAAGACTAATGAATAGCTTGACGACTGTCATGGTTTTAAGATTTTTGTTACCATATTCTCACATCCTAACATCATGTAGAGCACTGGGAGTTACAGAGTTAATGCTCCAGTTCTATGGATTGCCGACAGTTCAGGTATACCTTCAGAAGAGAAGAACTACACATCTCGGCGGACTGTTTACTGTTCTGTTTCCATTTTCTGTTCAGAGGGAAAGATAAAACTGCTCGCAGGTCACGAGATTGTCCCTCTCCTGCTGCTCATATCTGCAGTGCGTGCTCCTTAGCCATCTCACCTTCAGCATTAGATCAGAGCCTTTGGGTTTTGAACACTCTCTCTCTTTTGTTTGATTAGCTTCAATTCCAATTATGTTGTATTATATTGTGTTATTTTGCACTCTGACATCTCATATTTAGTACATTAGTTTTCTTGCTCAGACTGTTGCTGTTTTGTTTTAGGCCTATCTCCCTACTTTTTCCCCTTTCCTGGGCTGTGGGTCCATGGGTCCACCACCCCATTAGTCACAGAACAGGGCTGAACCAGCCCACAAACCATTGACAGTGTCCTGCCATAAAAAGAATTTAAGAAAGCAGTATTTTTAGCTTGCCTACTTACTTTTGTTTAAGTAAAATAACTATCTGTAAGTTCTCAAAAAGCCAAAAAAAAAAAAAAAAACAACCACAGAAAACCTCCTCCTGCCCATGGTTATTTACCTCTTTTGAAAGTGGAGAGTGGAGACAGGACAAGGGGAAACAGCTGGAAACTGCAGCATAGGAAGTTCTGCACCAATGTGCGCAAGAACTTCTGTACAGTGAGGTGACGGAGCACTGGAACAGGCTGCCCAGGGAGGTGGTGGAGTCTCCTTCTCTGGAGATGTTCAAGACCTGCCTGGATGCCGACCTGTGCGACCTGCTGTAGGGAACCTGCTTTGGCAGGGGGGTTGGACTCGATGATCTCTGGAGGTCCCTTTCAACCCCTACAATTCTGTGATTCTGTGATTCTGTGAAAGGCTGTTTCTAAAAAGGTATGAGCTATAGCATGGGAAAGCACACAAATTCTTTTTATTCCTTTTGTAGATAAATATGAGGGCTGCTCTGAAAGTAATACCTCCTTTTTCACTACGTTGGCCCATGAGGTCAGAGTGGATGATGGTGACACAGCAGTACATACAGGCTGAACCTTCTCGCCAATGTTCTGTTACATTTTGTTGTTAAACACAGATAGCAGCAGAGGGGCTGGCTGACAAAATGCTGCTTTGTAGCTCAGAGTTTCTCTATTAAGCAGCGCTATTGTGCTCTTTGTAGCTATTGTAATTTCCATGTAAATTACAGGATATTTTGGGAGCAAACTACATAATATAGAGGACTTGATTAATGATTAAAACATTCAGTTATATTCTACATATGTGGATAAAAATCAGGTAATTGCTTAAGGAAATGAACTAAGACTGCTTTCGATTACTAACTGTAGAACAGTTGTATTGTTGATAATATGTTCCTAGTAAATGTTATCTTGTACAGACTCACAACAAGAACCACTTGTGCCCCCTACGTTGCTGTGGAGCAGTCTGAACAAACGATTAAGTTAGTTTGCTTTCCTAATGTAATCTAATTTACTGATAGACGAATAAACAATAACAAAAAACCAGTTCAGAATAATATGTCATAATATAGTAAAATAAAAATTTCTCAACAGACTGTTCCGAAATCAGAATGAATTATACCCATTAGGGCTGTACTATCCAAAATGTTTTTGAAAACACAAAGGAATGCTACCCAATTCAAAATACTTCAATCCCAGGAACAAAGTAGAAACTGCTTATTTCTTTTCCACCTTGATACGTTAAAAGAATATGCCTCAGGAATCTAACCTTATTGAAGTACAAAGGATCATTAGTATTTTGACCAATGCCTAGCAAAATCTATTTACAGTGATCCTTTGGGTTCACTTTCTGCCTTATGCTACTGTGACCCATTAAACCCTAGTTCTCCATGGAAAAAAAACATCTCTTAAAATGGTTATTACTTCTGCAATTGCAAGTAATGTGATCACCCAAATGACCTCTTCAATGATCCTTCAGTCATGAACAAAAAAATGTGGAAGTTTACAAGACTAAAAAACCTAAATTTTCTAAAAAGTTAGAAAAGAGTCAACATCTTACCTTGCCACTGTTCGTTAAGCTCAGTAGCACAGTCGATCTTCAAATATTTCTCTTGAGTTGATGCTTCCTCACAAACAACTTTCTCGAGTAAATAATATGTTTCTGTGTCAATCTGAGAGATGGGATTTGAGCTTGCTATTACTTCATTATTGACACAGAACCCTATAGAACTGATAGGTTTCCTAAAAAGCAGAAAAAACATTCGGGTAATTAAGCAGCTGTAAGAAATTTTAATAACTTCTGTGACTCCTGAGTGTATCAATGGCACACAAAAAGACAGACTAAGAACTTTCATAGTCACTGTACTTAGTCAGAACAATTTGAAATTATAGACTTGTCTTCATTATTCAAATATAGATCCAAAGTTCAACCTCTCTACTACCAATTTACATATTTAATTCTTTCCCAAGAGAAAACTCTTTAAATTTAATCTCAGCATTAAATTTAACAAAGGGCAATGGCTGGAAAAAAGCATCAAAATTGCTGGTGTCATAACACTTCTGACCAAAAAAGCTCTGGGTTAAATGTATACATATCTTTCACATATCATGCAGAAATTATAGGCAAAAAAAAAAGGTGAAATACAGTATAAACAAAGAAGCAAAAACATTTCATTTTCTTGACACTTTTTGTGCTAATGTCAGTATTAGTAATATTTGCCAGGGAGAAAACCTGGTTACCAAACAAATAGCAAAGCCATTTGACAACAGATTTTTTTTTTTAAAGTTAGTTTTGGGTTAACCATACATTTGGATAAAATACTTGTAATTTCTAATTAAAATATGGCCATTTTAATGCTGCAATATCTATATAAATTGAACGAACAACAAACTTACATTTCTGAAGAACCTGTGTTTTCTGCTTATATTTAATAACTGTTTCTAATATTCTAATTTCAGAGAACAGACATCTCAAATGTTCATCCTATTGATTTATTCAGTATTCTAATAATCTGTTGCACTACATAGTCCTGACATTTGCCAACCATCTGGAGGTCGACCACATAAATGAAACGGCCAGAAACTGCAGCATAGGAAGTTCTGCACCAATGTGAGAAGGAACTTCTGTACAGTGAGATGACGGAGCACTGGAACAGGCTGCCCAGGGAGGTGGTGAAATCTCCTTCTCTGGAGATGTTCAAGACCTGCCTGGATGCCGACCTGTGCGACCTGCTGTAGGGAACCTGCTTTGGCAGGGGGGTTGGACTCGATCTCTGGAGGTTCCTTCCAACCCCTACGATTCTGTGATTCTGTGATTCTGTGACATGGCATCAGTATAGAGAACAGAGTGCATCTCTTAATTTCAGCATAAACCTTCATGTTTAGTCAGTGATACTGGAGAACAACTGCTACAGTTTTTTAATAAAACATTTTACAAAGCAGCACAGCCTTGAAGTTATTTTGCATCCACAAGTAGCACAGCTCATGAGTGAAAACTGTCTGGTATTGACAACAATGCCCATAGCTGAACAAGATGTAAGCCTTTGAAAATCCATAAAACTTTGAACACTGTGACAAATGAGAGCCGCGTTTTATTAAATCACAGCTAAGTGAGCTGTCAAGATGCGGTCATGGCTCTATGTCCAGGTACTGGCCAGTCACGACTGGCGTCCCACAGGGGTCCATCTTGGGACTACTGCTCTTCAATACTTTTATCAGTAATTTGAGTAGTGGGATTGAGCGCACTCTCAGCAAGTTTGCTGATGAAATATTACCAGCCACCCCTCATTGTGCTCACATCCTCTGTTTGGTCTCCATAAACATTCAGCAAGAGTTGAAGGATGAATGTGTATGTTTGGTGGCCCTGCTAGGCAGGGCGGTTGGAACTACATGATCCTTGGGGTCCCTTCCAACCCGGGTGATTCTGTGATTCTGTGATTCTGTGAAGGATATTGGTAGGTGCCATTTTTTTCTGCATGAAGGAAATCAGTTCCACACCTTTACTTCACGCACACTTTCATGCCAGAAACCTTTCTGTCAGAGTGCCCCTCTGCCGCCATCTGTCACACAGCAACAGCAAGTAACAGAATGTTGGCAGAAGGTTCAGACTCTGTTGTGATACCACCAACATCTATGGCATCTGGGGCAAAAATCATAAAATAGGAGGCATTACTTTCAGAGCTGCCCTCGCAGTAGTACTTTTAGTAAAGAAGACATCTTTAAGCTGTCTCCTAGAACAGCTCCGCAGCGCTGTCCACTTCATACCATCAGAAGACATTTCCATATTCTATCATCACTAACTTATCACTCACAAAGTAGCTGAATGATATTAAAGGAATTGTATATACTTTAAAGATAAGGTCACTGACTTTTCCAGGAAATCCTCCACATATGAACTTTTCTTCCATTGATCCAACACTGAAACAGCAATCATGTTCTGTGTTGAAGTAACTGGGACAGAAAGAGAATCACATAAAAAATAATAAAATCATTTTTAAGTATAGATCAAATCACTGCAGAGGTTAAACTGCAGCTAACACATATAGAAGCGGCAAAGATTGTTGCTTCTACTGTTTTCAAGTGAATGAAAGTAAACCAGAAACATGCAAATATTTTTATACACATTCACATATCATTACACCAATTTTTTCAAAAATTTCAGCATAATCTCCCAACTAAACAGATCTGTTTTCATTACTTATCTAGACCACTAATTTTCCTGCACAACAGTATGTCTCCTGACATTTTATACTGTATTTGACTAATTCAGCATGAAGTTTTACAGAGATGTCAACGATCTAATCAAATATTGCCCTAATTTGTGGTGCCATACACAAATACCCAGTACCCATCTGTTTCTGCTTAGGCAATGAATAAATCCTGCCTTCAAATGCTGTAAGAGTGCTACTTCTGGAAATACATTTTTTCCTATTAGAATACATCATATTATGCTCAAACAGAAACCTTTCTGTCAGTCCACAATGAATTTAAAGTAAACCTTAGCAACCAGACTACTTACTTCTTGTCCAGGGCCTCCTATACTGATCATGAGCAAAAAGTCCAGTCAGATGATACTTTTCATGTTGTCGGAAATAGGGAGGAAAGCAAAGTGATAATCTACGGATGGAATACTTTTGCCTTGCCATGCTCTGCACAAAAAAAAGGCATGTGATGGGATTATGAGACACACTTATATTTGTCTTTTTTATTTTTGCGCACCATGCCTTTTTATATTTAAGTTTTATATTTCTGTGAAACTGAGACACAGTCCAATCTAACTCAGTTAGTTCTGTCAACGGTCACAATTATAAATTCCTTTTCCTTTTTGCTTTAATCCTCTGTCAGATACTTAAAACTGTCAGAATTGTTAATGACAGTTAATTTTAAGAAAAAGGAGACAAAAAAAATTGCCATTATTCCATCTTCTTTAGAAAACTCTTGCAAAAATTGATAAGAGCCACATTGATGCAATAACAAATTTTTTCTAAGGCAAAACACTATGTTTAGGCAGGTATCTTCTCTCCTAATCCTAATTATAACCTTTCTTGTCATTAAAACAAGTTATAATGACAGTGACTGTGCTCTTGCAGTACTCTGAGGTTAAAAATATATGAGCTGCTGGAGTTAAAGCAGAAACTGCTAAACAAGTAAATGCAAGCAATAAGGTGTCAGGGATCAGAAAGACAATGTTAACACCAGTATGCAGTTTTGCGAGGATACCTGTAGCTCAGTAGCCTAGAATTAAGCATATTTTCAATCACTGCTGTTTGTAAAGTAGAGCAAGCGTCCTAGGGCTGTGTGCACAGATGGTGGCCTTATAACAGGCAAGCTATACATTTTACAGAACATTTTAGATTGATTTGTTCCGAGTATAATGGCTATAGTGAATTAATTGAATTTATGACGTCTGCTACAACATAACCTTTCTTGTCTTTCTCATATATATAAATGTTTTTTAAAAAGATTATTAATGTTTAAATCATTTAGCCAGTGAATATTTCCTACTATTTCTCAAGGAAATGTAAATGTCTTTATAAAAATCTCTTTTAAACAAAAGACACTGTTTTTTTACAGTCCTGTACAGCTTGCCTGTATTGTCAATTTATGATGTAAGAGAATACCAAACTTCTAAGATGACTCTGTAATCACACCTGCAATGCTCAGTAGCTTAAGGAACCCTAATTAGGCATCTTTCTTGAAGTATTTATTTAAACTGGGCAGTTGGAAGAACTATACCTGGGCTTTATAAAAGGACAAGAACATCAAGAGAAGGATTCCACACTGAGCTTAGCTAAACATTTGCAGGAATCAGAGTTTTGAGTCTCCCATCAAATTCCAGCATTTCCTACAATTGGAAGCATTAAACAAGTGCATTTGGTAAAACAAATCCCTGAAAAGTTCACTGAACTATTACATGCTCTCTAGCAGGATGGTAGAAACAAGAAACTGCAGTTTCAGGACAGCGTAGCCTTCATACAGTCAGATGCAGAATACCTTCACTTTTGTGACCACATCCACTATTTCTGCTGATATTGCAGAGCCAGCAGCCAGTCAGCAAGTTACCAAACACTAAACTTCTGCCTCTTTTCATATATCCCACTATCAGCACTGCCTGACTCCTCAAAATTTAGGCAAGAAAAAGCACAAATCTAGTTATTTTCATACTGGCCCTGTACATGTTTTGCTAACATACCCTTTCACAAATATTCATATTCACAAATGCTATAGAATCATCTGAAGATCAAACTGAGTAGAACTGCTGCTGGAAGGCTGAAATACAGATTACATGCTGCTGGAGTTACAGCAGAAAAAGGTTCTGATGGTACATTCTAAGAAAGAAGGCACAAACAGAGATACTATGGAAAACACCTTCCGCACTATGAGGAAAGGGACACAGACAAGGTATTCAATAGTGTGGACTGCAGTTCACCTGCAAATATTTGTACTATATTAGACTAATTCATAGTTACATTTCTCCAGACATGCGCCAGGACTACTTGTGAGCGTACTTGCACTCCTTCTGAATTCTTGAAGGCATCATGTCTCACCATCTCATTCTTCTACTTTGCACAAGGAATATCCCCCCTAGGCAAAGCACCATCCTGCCAGAAAATTTTTTAGTATGGCTCATATCTTTTCTTTGAAAATGTGAATAAGTGAATCCTCAATTAGAAAAGACATTGCACCAAATGATAAGCAATGGATAACATCACACAGACGTAGACAGAAAAGAAAGCAGAACTTTGTTAAGTTTTCCATGTTGTAACAGATCAACATTAATAAAGCCAGGAGATTCATTGTAGCACATTCATCTGCTTTACACAGATTTTAAATTTCATCCATAGCATACAAAGAAATGACACTTCCCCATCTATAGTAGGAGTACAACGATTTGTAGCATTACCTAACGCATATTAAAGAAATTAGAAACTAAAACTAGTTCTTCAAAAAGGTAATTAATTGAATTGTATGCATTAGAAAGCACAGTACACACTCCAAAGGAAGCTCTAAGCAACAGGTTATGAAACACAATCATAAATGCAATAGACAAACAAAAAATAAATGCTCTTCTGCTTTGGTAAAATTGTACTTTAATTTTCTATTAAAAAAGGTAATCAGTCCTTATTGTTATATAACCTTATTATTATATAACCTTAATAACCTTATTGTTATACTAGCATCAGTGCAGTACAACAACCTCAAACAAATACAATTTCTTAGAAATTAGTTCTCTACTTTTTAACATATATGAATCTTTTAAATGACTGACATAATTCCTTCAGAATAATAAGTGAAATAATAAAACTATACCTCATATAAATAGTCTGTTGACTGATACTTTAAAGCTGCAAACATCTTTCCTGTTTTGTGATGTTTCCGACACTTGTCTAAAAGAAATTCAGAAAAATGATAAGTTAAAAGTTCTTGTACAAGAGTTGAAAGAGCAGACTGAAATAAAGGCTAAACAAGAATAATTTCTGAACTTCTTCTAACATATGCACTTTGAACTGAACTTTGTTTAGAAGAGCGTTTAGTATTCCTCCTTTGGAAGGATGTAACAACTGAACTAGAGACCACAGACATCTGATTATGCAAAAATGCCCTTTTCTCTCTTCTCCCTTCCCTCCCTTCCTCTGCCCCTTGCCTTTTCCCCTCCTCCTCCTCCTCCTCCCCCTCTCCCTCTCCCTTCCCTCTGTGCCTCTTGCAGTTCGAAGAAAACCTTTCAATCCTTTTAAGTGAACGTAAGCAATCTGAGTTATCTCCCCTAAGCAATAATTCTGACAATTTAACAGACGTAATCATTGAACCGATCAAACCAATTAGATTATTTCTTCTGGATTCAAAAATTGTAGTTCAGCTACCTAAACCTAATCTTTCACTGACTAACATGTAGAGCTTCTTCTTCCTTTTTTTTATTTTATTCACTCCTTCAGTTTTGCAATCAAAAAAGAATTGTATGAGCTAGTTATAAGGAAGAGGTCCTGTTAGAACACCAAGTCTCTAAATTATTTAGGGGACTATGATGGAGTCAGGTGGGTAATGGAGTACAGGTAAAGGACTACAAGAACATATATATGGTGTGATTGGTCATGTGCGTACAAGGTAAGAGTATGTATTCTTAAATAAATTAGGTAAAGTGTTAGGGCTAAATTAAGATAATCCTATCCAAACAGTGTATGATGTAAATGAAACATAAAAAACTTGAGTTGTAGGGCCGTAAGGAAAGTTGGGACTCAAGTAAATATCAGTAATATGGCATTAGGCTAAAATTGCATGGGTAACAGTGTCAGAAATAACAAATCCAGGTATGAAAGTAACAGAGACCAACAAATAAAAGATAATTAGGAACTGGCTGTTTGCTTGAAAATAGTATGACCAGGGAATGTAGAAGTCTGGGTTCGGGAAAAGGGAAAAAAAATAAAAACAACCCACAAAACCACTCCAAACCATAACTAAGGTACAGAGGGGAATTCCTGTCGGAAGCTGCGCAGAGGCCCTCAGTGGGGAGGCTGACCAGTGAGCCAACACCTGGCTGCGCTGAGGACACTCGCTGTGGGACCATCCTGAGGAGATGAGAGCAACTTTCCTATTGCTACCTTCTTGAGAGCGCTTCACTGGAACACACCGACACTGCTCCGTAAACCAGCAGCCATCACAGACGGCGCCGCAGCGCGTACCTCAGGAGCGACCTCAGGGCGGGAAGCGCGCCTGGCGCCTCTGATTGGCTGCCGCCGGCCCGCCGGCAGAGAGGCCCCGCCCCTCCCTCACCATTGGTCTCCACGCCCCCATAGAGAGCTGTGGCCCGGCCTGGCTGGAGCTGGGAGATCTGGGAGCACCAGAATTGGGTGCAGTACAGACGGTGGGGTCTCGCAAGAGCAGAGGTGCGAAATCACCTCCCTTGACCTGCTGGTCGCTCTTCTCTTGATGCGCCGCGAGATTTGATTGGCCTTCTGGGCTTCAAGTGCACATTACCAGCTCATGTCAAGTCTTTCATCAGCCAGCATCCCCAAATCCTTCTGCTCAGGGCTGCTCTCAAGCCATTCTCCACTCTAGCTGTATCTGTGCTTGGGACTGCCCTGACCCAGGTGCAGGGCCTTGCACGTGGCCTTGTTGAACTTCGTCAGGTTAGCATGGGCCCACCTCTTGGGCCTGTCCAGGTCCCTCTGGATAGCAACCCTTCCCTCCAGTGTGTCAACTGCACCACTCAACTTGGTGTCATCTGCAAAATTCCTGAGCATGCACTCAATCCTGCTGTCCTTATTGCCTACAAAGATGTTAAACACCATTGGCCCCAGTACTGATCCCTGAGGAGCACCACTTACCATAACTTTCCTGTTCAAGAACTGGACAGAGTGTCCAGAGGTGAATCATTGCTGAATCTGGTGCTCACCAACGTGGAAGGGATGATTGAACACATGAAAATCGCAGACAGTTGGGGCTGCAGTAGCCATGCCCTGGTTGAGCTCATGATCTCAAGAAATGCAGGTTTGGCAAACAATGGAATCAGGACCCCGAATTTCAGGAGAGCAAACTTCAAGTTGTCGAAGAAATTGTTGGATGAGGTCTCCAGGGAAGGAGTCCTAAGAGATAACTGAGTGGAACAAAACTGGCTACTCTATAGGGATGCCTTTCTGAGAATGCAAGAACTCTCTGTCCTTCAGAATATAAGAAAGCAGGAAGGGGATACAGAAAACTGACGTGGCTTGGCAAGGACCTGCTGGTCAAACTGAGGGAAAAGAAGGGCAAGCATAGGCAGTGAGAAAAAGGACATTTCTATGACAGAATCATGGAATTGTAGGGGTTAGAAGGGACCTCAAGGGATTGAATCCAACCCCCTTGCTAAAGCAGGTGCTCTACAATAGGTCACACAGGTAGGTGTCTAGGCAGGTCTTAAATATCTCCAGAGAAGGAGATTCCACTACCTCTCTGCACAGTCTATTTCAGTTCTCAGTCACCCTCATCATGAAAGTTCTTTTGCATATTGGTGCAGAGCTTCCTATGCTCCAGCTTATGGCTGTTTCCCCCTGTGGTCTTCACAGACCACTAAAAAGAGGTTGACCATGTCCCTCTGTCTCTCACACTTATGATACTTACAAACATTAATAAGATCCCCTTTCAGTCTTTTTCTGTCAAGTCTGAACAAATGCAGACTGGTCAGCCTTTCCTCACTGGGGAGATACTCCAGGCCCTTTATCATTTTTGTGGCCCTCTACTGAACTCCTTTCAGGAGATCTCTGTATTTTTTGTTCCAGAGAGCCTGGAACTGGACACAGTACAGTGTCAGGTGTGGCTTGACCAGGACACAGTCACAGACACTCCCTTGACCTGCTAGCCACACTCCTTTTAGTGCACTTAAGGACCCCATTGGCCTTCTTGGCCACCAGGGCACAACGCTAGCTCCTGGCCAACCCGTCATCCACCAGGATCATCTGGACCTTCTTTGCAGAACTCTTCTCCAGCAGGTCATCCCCCAGCCTTATTGATACATGCGGTTATGCCTCCCCAGGTACAAGACTCTACTCTTGCTCTTGTTAAACCTCATCAATTTCCTCCCTGCCCTACTCTCTAGACCATCCAGATCTTGTTGAATAGTAGCACAGCCTTTGTGCAGCTGCTCCTCCTAGTATAGCAGGTCCACAGGACCAGAAAAGGGAAGGGGAGGGGAGGGTGTCAGCAGTTTATGGGCTGATTCAGCCCACATCTGCAATTAATGGGGGGGCCCATGTACCCATGCCCTGGGAAAGGAGAAAGGGGAGAAGGGGAAAGTGTAGAGAGATGGTGGATGGGCCTATAAACAGAACAGCAGCAACGATCTAACTAGAAAAAGTTAATTTACTAAATATGATATTGAAATGCAAGAGAATCCAACATATAATAGGAACTGGGGCTAATATATCAGATAAAGTGAGAGAGAAAAAAAGTATCTGAAACCAAAGCCCTTACTCTAAAATTGAAGGCGAAATGACTGGGGAGCACACATGCTGACTGGCAGTGAGAAAATAAGAGTCCCATGACTTACCAGGAACTTTATCTTCCCTTCTGAGCACAAAGTCCTCTGGGGTATGTAGTTCTTCTCTTCTGAGAGCCAAGTATTCAGGAAATCAGCAGTCCACGGAACTGGAATATTAACTCTTTAACTCCCAGTGCTTTACATGATGTTATGATGTGGGATACCAATAACAAAGATCATAAAACCATGACACTATCAAAACTTGTTGTGGACTGTATCCTTTCATCCAGGTTGCTGATGAAGATGCTGAACAAGACCAGACCCAACACCAACCTCTCGAGAACACCACTAGTTACATGCCTCCAAACAGACTCTGTGCTGCTGCTGAGCTCTGCCTGCCTGAGCTCTGCCAGTCTGCCAGTTCTCAATCCACTTCACCATCTACTCATCTATCCCACGCTTCCTAAGTTTCATCACAAAGTGGGATAATGTGGGAGATGGTGTTAAATGCCTTGCTGAGTCAAGGTACACAATACCCACTGTCCTCCCCCCACCTACATGGGGGTACATCGAACATGATCTCCCCTTAGCATGTTGACTACTCCTGATAACCTTCTCTTCCACTTGCTTGGAGATGGCACCTGGAAGAACTTGCTCCACCACCTTTCCAGGGGTGGAGGTGAGGCTGACTGTCCTGTAGTTTACCGGATCCTCTTTCTTGCCCTTTTTGAGTCCTGGAGTGACATTGGATTTGTATTCTTTGATTTTGTCTAGACACTCTCTGATCATCTCCTCCTCAACACCAGCAAAGCCTTCCATTCCCCAGACTCTCTCTTACCTTCAGGATGTGGGTTTCCTAAGGGAAAGACAATGTAGTGAAGACTGAAGCAAATAAAGTATTCAGTATCTCTGTCTTCTTAGTATTCCCTGTTACCCAGGCTGTAACAAATAATAAAGCTTAAATCTCTTGTGTTTCAGTGAAGTATTTTTGCAATACTGAGTTTTTAACGAGTGAGTCATAGTGATTCTGCTGTTTAATGAGTAGTTCTGAGGGTGCTTTGTGGTTAGTATGTCTTCTAAGTGAAAGAAAAAAGATCAGTAAAAAGGTTTTGTGCATGGTGTATATTATGAATGCATAATGAGATTGAAATGCAATTAGAAGTACAAGGGGCTGATTGCATCTAGGTGTTGTTATCCACATCTTCCATTAAAAGTTACAGGATTTGACTTAAATTGACTGACAAAGACAAAAATATCACAGTCTGCCAAGGCCTGCACCTTCTGCAGGTCACTCAGAAATGGCTTCTCATGAGCCTTCAGCACATCTAAAGACCGCATTTCGTGAACTTGTTATTTGGTAGGCATGCTGTATTTCAACAACTCATTATTCAGCTGACAGTCTGCTTCTCCTGATTTTACACTGAGCATACTTTATTCTTTTCCATAATTTCCTTTCTGACTTACAGATATGCAAGCACCCCTATGTGGTAACAGAGAGACCATTACATGGTAGCTACATTTCCACTTGCATGTCTTACTTTTATTTTTAGTTGAGATTTATTTGCAGTTAGGTAAAAAGATGAAGGTAAGACAAGGAATGACATGTCCTTCTTCCAGAATGCATACTGCACAATGCATCTATATGCAAAACCAAACCAGTTTATCCTTTTCTAAGATATGTTACTGTGTGTCTATGTATTAGTCTGTATGTTTGTGTCATTCTCTTTTCAAGAACAGGGAGGAGAGGCATGTATAGGTTGGTCCAAGTACTGGATCATTTGATTTTTAAAGCTAGAAAGGAAAATCATATGCAACATAGAGGCTCAAAAATGCTTCATTTTAACTGAAGAATCAATTAAGTGGGTGGTCTGGTTTGTACAAGGTCATGCCATCATTTTCCTAATGAAGAAGCATTTTTTTTGGCTCCAGAAAATCACTGTTTTAACTCATTGTCCAAGCAAAAAAGGAACAGCAATTTTTAAGCATCATATTGCCTTGTACCAAGAGGAACTGTAGTTATTTTTGAGTTGTGATTCACTGACGAAATTGGAAGAGTTTAGCTGGTAAACAAGAACTATGGAGCCTTTGGATTTTTAGTGTCACAGCTGCAGGGATTGTATAAAGTACCTCTAAAGCTGATGCTTCAATATGAAGAAATGCAGCTTAATAAGATAATGTTTGTCCCACAGGTAATCATATTCTCTATTTTAAAATTTGTCATGGTTTGTTAAAGTGGCATTTGTTTTGCAGCACTGCTCATGCGTGCAGTAATATTTCAGTGTTTACTTTTTAATTGGTACTTTGATTCAGATAATATCAATATTGATCTTCTCATACATTTAATCATTTTAGTCACAAAGAGACTGCCTCTTGCCATAACATCTCAGCCAGAATTGCCAGATTTCTTCATAATGATGGTAATAATCTTCTCATGAAGATTAAAATTCCTGCTGATTAGCAAGAAGTCACCTGACATTGGCAAAATCTTCATGAGTGAGAGAAAGACGAAATTGCCTTTATCTACAGATGGTAAATGTTAGCAGCTTGATTAACCAGGATATGAAGTCGACATCTATTCAGGGAGCATGAAAAATAAATAAAGTTGGTCATTTCGTTTCATCAGCAGTTTGTGTAGAAAAATACACATCCAAGTAAAGTAAATTCTGCAGTATTTGCTGAAGAGGTTTTGTGAACAGCTGCTGTGAAGATGTTCCTGTTCCACAAGGGGTTGCTGTTGTCACGTATCTTGGTAAACAGTTTCCACTTCGAAGACTGAAGTGTAGGCATGCCAATCTCTCAGGGAGTGAAACAGGAGAGTATTAGCTGCAAAGGAATCTTCAAAGGCTTTGGTGATATATCCTGAAATAAAAATACAGTGCAGCTAATACTTGCAATACTTGCAGTTTTGATGCTATTTCTTTGCTTTTTGTTTAATTTGCTTCCAAATGAATGAGAAATGGAAGTCAGATGCACCGGATATTTCATGAATACTGAAAATTAGTGTTATTTTATCTTTGAAAACTGTTGGTAGCATATATGGTATTTTTCATAACACTAAAGGTGGTTTTGCAAGCATTGTTGGGGAGAATGATGCTTTTAAGCAATTTTTTTTGGGGGGGTAGAAAAAGTATTTCTATTACAGATGTCTCAACTGAGCAGTAAAAGAAGTTTGAATAACTAAATACTGACATTCTCATGTTAACAATGGTTTCTGAAGCACATTTGTAAACCCCACCTTGTAGTGGACAAAGCAGACGTTGGTATGACAGTAGAAGTTGGCTCCAATCCTGAGCCAGTAGCATGAAGGAGGGCACCCACTGGAAAGTGAGTAATCCTCTGAAGGTGTGCTGAACCTGGACATCCCCAGAGACACAGAGTCTTGAGCAAGGTGGAAGAAATGGTGTTGTTTCACTGATTTCTTCAAAACTGGAGTTTCACTGTGATTCATTTTAGAAATGGGACTAGGGCATTCTGTGGCATGGTAATGAAGAGTTACGCCACAGTTAAGCTTGCTGTGGAACCTTGGTGCCAACACAACGTGCAACCTCAGGAAATGTTTCTGCAGACACGGATGTGTTTTCAGAGAACACTACAAAAGGAACAGCTGGATTTGCTTGCAATTCTCAGTGAAATCATGCGGAAGGAATAAATGGAAGGTTTGAAATTTGCAGCTAAGGATGGCCATTCATTAAATGCTGGAACTTGCTGATTGATCTAACTAATGGAAGATGTCATCAACAGGTTTAGTGGTGCCTCTCCCAAAGTTCAAAGACCATCTTAGGAACATACATTTTTGGTGCATTGGCTGGAATACATTCTCTTGGAATCTGTACCCCAGAGAGTTTTGTTGTTTATCTGTATTGGAGGCCTGCAATTCCTTAAAGTCTGGGCATACTGCCAACGTTCTGGGAACTTTCTAAACTCTTTGAGTGCTGTGCCAGTATTTTGTTGCTGTTGTTGTTGTTGTTGTTGTTGCTTTTTGTTCTGGCACTGTGCCAACTTGTTTTTGTAAAGAAACGAAGTGTTTGCTTTCTCTTGTAAAACTGTTCTTCAAGGGATTACATTTCATCGTGTTCTTCCTTTTAACATTTAGAACGTAGTGAACCTTTATTAAATCTGCCATTCTGCTCTACAGAGCTATATGCGTATACAGTAAATTAAATACACTGATGGAAATGCCTATCCGCCATCTGGATGCAGCGTGGCATGAATTGGGCATTGAAAGTTACGTCTCAGAGAGAGTTGCTAATTTTACTTTTTAACAGGCTTCCAATCTCTTCCTTGAATCCCTTATACATTTTTGAAATGCTCATCCAATGATCATGTTGAGAATCTCCCTGAGATCAAAGTTCACCAAGGTGAACTTCTCCATGAAGGTGGTTGCTCCAGTTGCTGTAGGACATGGCAAAAGCCATAAGGACCCTGATCTGATTCACAGAACAATGCAGGTAACAGTTAGAGGGGCCCTGCCCCCAGCTAAGGGGTGGAAAGGGATAATGGAGTGTATTGGACTTGTGAATTTGATGGCCTGGCGCATCAGAACCACAGAAATATGAGGCACTGGTGAACACTGGTGCACAGTGCACTCCAATTCCCTGAAGTCACAAAGGGACAAAATCAGTTTATGATTCTGGGGTGACTAGAGGTTCCCAAGTGTTGACTCTGTTGGAGGCCAAAACAAGCCTCACTGGTAAAGACTGGCAAAAGCACCTTATTGTGACTGGCCCAGGGGCTCCATGGATACTTGGAACTGATTACCTCAGAAGGGGGCATTTCAAGGATCCCAAGGGATATTGATGGTCCTTTGCAATAGCAGCTGTAGACACAGACAACATTAAGCAGCTGTCTGTTTTGCCTGGCCTGTCAGAAGATCTGTCTGTTGTGGGGTTGCTTTGAGAGGAAGAGCAGCAGGTACAAAAATGGTGCACAGACATCATTACAGCACCAACAGGAATTCCTTGCTTCCTACTCATAAGTTAATTCATCAACTAGAGAGTCAGGGAGTGATCAGCAAAACTCACTCACGTTTTAACAACCCCATATGGCCAGTGCATAAAGCCAATGGAGAATGGAGGCTGACGGTGGACTACCGTGGCCTGAATGAAGTCACACCCCCACTGAGTGCTGCTGTGCTGGACGCATTAGAACTCCAGTGTGAATTGGAGTCAAAGACAGACAAGTGCTGTGCCACAACTCACATTGCTAATGCCTTTTTCTCCATTCCTTCGGCCACAAGATGTAGGCTTTCACCTGGAGTGGCATTCAGTACACCTGGAAACATTTGCCCCAGGGGTAGAAACACAGCCCTAGAAATTTGCTGTGAGTTGATTCAGACTGCACTGGTGCAGTGCATTGCTTTCAACCACCTGCAGTACCCTGCTAATATTATGGTGTGGGGCAATATAGCAGAGGAAGATTTCAAGAGAGAGAGTAATCCAGATCCTTCTACAAGCTGCTTTCATCAAGTGGAGCAAAGTGAAAGGACCTGCACAGGAAATAAAGTTCCTAGGTGTAAAATGGCAAGATGGGCAAATAACAAAATTACTACTGTGTCTCACCCACTAGTGTCCTAGTTCTGGACCAGTTCAGCCTGGTTCTGTGACCAGTGGGTGGGGGGACCCAGAGTCCCATACCCTGGTAAGGATTTAGGGAAAAAGGTAGGGAGGTGGACCTAAAAACAGAACAGTGTCAAAGAGCTATGGGAGAAAACTAATTTCCAAAAATGATAGCGGAATGCAAAAAAACACAATATAATATGATATAATTGGAATAGAAACTAATAAATAAAATGAGAAAGTGTACAAAACCCAAAGGCTCTG